TAATTCCCTTGGTTCCCACGATGTTCTCTGAACATTACAGGATATCCCTTTTCGTAAGAACCAGAACATAAAAAAAAACTGATCTTAAATAAAGCAATGATCAAATTCACGGATCTCATCAGTGCTGTCATAAAACATTACTGCTCGCAGGTTCGCGCTTGATCAAAATGATGGCACGCAAGCTAAGATTAAAGGGAACTGCTTATTTCCTTAAATAATTTCAAAAATAAATGTGGCGCAAGAAGAAACTCTTACCTGATATTGTTGGAAGTCATTGAATGTTGCCTCAAATTGACGTAATCTTTGAGGAAGAAGTGGGACCTCCACGTCTTGTAGAAGTGAGAAATTGAAATACCAATTGGTTGTACTCTATTGTACTGTCAAATTATGTTTACACATTAGGAAATATGCATGAAGTGAAAGATAGGAGTAATTGTCAAATATTGAACGAAGTCATTGATTTTACTAAATGAGAGCTAATATTATTTATTGTCCACCACATCGCGCTACTGAAACGTGAGGTCAGATTTGATGGAACTGATGAATATACTTCTTCTTCTCGTGTCATTTGGCCTACGATATCTTCCTCTTCGTCAATGTAAGAAAGTCGTGAAGTTCCATATTGAGAGTGAAAAAACGTAACTCTCTTCAAGTATTTCCATAACTTGGGGGTTTTCTATCTGTTCAAATATCCAACTGTAAAATATTGAAATTTTTGACTTTGACATTGACCTCACGGTTTAGTAGAGCCATCTGGTGAGACTTAACATGTTAACCCCCATTCCCAGGGTTCATCAGGTGTCTTTTTACTTTAATGCTTTTATAGATCTTTCGGTTGTAAATATCATCACTCAGAGAGGACAAAAAAAGAAATGCAAGTGTGTCAGAGATCGTATTTGGAACCGTAAATGGTCGAGCATTGGGTAGCGTTATTTCACTCAGGGTGCTTTTAAACTTTGCAGGAACTATCAATTGGTAGACTAAACAACAATTCTTCATCGCACTCTTGCATATATCTCCCTGTATACTAAAAATGAACACTGAAATTTTTTTCTCCAAGTGGCAGGAAAAGTGGATTTTCTCTGACGTTGCTATGCAACGTTTCAAAAAATTTAAATGAAATTGATAAATTGACACTGACATTGGGTGAACACAAATTGATGGAGATATTAAAAAAATATACAAAATTGATTTCATAGGATTTGGAGAAAAAATAATATGTTTCATTCGGCAGTAATTGTGGGTTGACTGCCTAGTAAAACAAATAACTATGTATCGTGTTGATATTTTTTTCCAAAACAACTTACATTGTATGCAATTCAATCTATAATTGCGAATGCTTGATTAACAGCTTTATCATCAGTACTAACACAGTTTTGTTGGAACGGCTTTCACTTGATGAACATTCATTCCAACAATGAAGAAAACTGTCTATTATACCATTTCATAGAAGTGCTGAATATGAATATTTCAAATCATAGGAGCACCATGTGGAGGATACTTCGTCCAACCACTGAATAATCGTAAACTTTCAGCTCTGACATCTTTCGGGTTCGAATTGGCCATTTTCTTGGGGTGTTTAGCAGCAGCTGCCGCATTACACGACATCCTCCTCAAAGGCGTCACACGTTTGCCGATGTCCTTTTTCGATACTATCCCTATAGGTCGGATTTTGTCTAGGTTCGCCAAAGATATGGAAGTGGTGGACGAAAAATTGAACCGTTCGTGTTCAGATGGGATAAATTGTACTTACGAGGTAACTGGAACACTTTTTCTCCGTGTTACCCTGCATACAGCGCTGTCATATCAAAACTTACCACTCTGCATATCTCCTGGTCTGCGGTAATTCGAAATTTCAGGAAAAATATGTCAGTTTTGATATCGAGGGGAAAGTAATATGCCAGTATCGATTCAATGATAGATCAGCTCCAGACACCCTCACCACTAGCAATGTATTTCAAGCTTGATAGTTCTGTATGCTATTGTTACTATGAAATAACTTTCTTTCAATTCTAATTAAAATCTAGTTTCCATTAACCATGACAGAGGGAAAGGGCAACAAAGTCACACTTATGTGGGTTCCAGGGCATGAAGGAATCAAAGGAAATGAGGCAGCTGATCGCCTTGCAAAAAAAGGTGCAGCATCTGCCCTTTTTGGTCCTGAGCCTTTTTATGGGATAAGCAAATGTCACCTAAAGGGAGAACACAGGAAATGGGAAGAAATTGAAAAGTCCTCCTACTGGAGAGCAACTCCAGGTCAACGACAAGCGAAAAGGTTCATCAACCATTCGCAGAACCGAGCCAAAGAGCTACTCAGCCTCTGCAAACCAGAGCTAAAGCTTATCACAGGCTTTCTCACAGGACACGGCCCTCTGAGGTACCACCTCAAAAAGATGGGTCTGGCGGAGACTGACACTTGCCGCTTTTGTAACAATGCGACCGAAACCGCGGAACACATAGTTTGCTCATGTGAAGTATTGGTCCGCCAAAGGCTGAACCACCTAGTCTAACTCACCCCTGCTGAAGTGGAAAAGTCAACCGTCAGGAAAATCGTAGGCTTCATCAGAAGTCTAGGGTTAGAGTACCAAAACTAGATAGGGGTAATCACAATAGATCTTCTAGGTCGCAGTGATCGAGAGGTCTCCCAGCCTATACGACCCATCTACAATCTACAACCATGACAGAATATGGCAAGTCGTTATTATGAATACCCGCTAGATTCGCATCAGAACAGTGAATTCGGTGACTATGTCTCTATTGACTAGTAGTTCCTTAAAACATAGTAATTAATGGTAGGTTCTATAGCTAGTGGTAAAAAAAGAAATTATTATGCATCTGGTCGGATTGATTTTTGTTTCCGCCTGAATTTGATGTATCTCTAGGTTATAAGGGATACCATTTGAAAGTTGGGGGTCAAGGAAGTGAACATAGCATTCAATCGATACTGGTATTTAACTTCCCCCTCGATATCTAAATCGACCTATTTTCTCCGAGAATTTTGATCACCGCAAATCAGAAAATATGCTGGGTGGTACGTTTTGAAATGAAAGCCCTGTAAGTCTTCTTGCTTCATGTTCCTGTGTTATCCCAACTATTACAAGCTTATGAAAGGAAAAAGGGCATTTGAATACTGCGCAGTTTCTCATCAAGCGAAAGCCTACTCCATTCTATATTCGTATTATTTATAAACACTGTATTATGAGTAAATGTAACTAACAGATAACCTATTGCAGTCTAATTTCATGTTAACCTGTAGAATGTTTGGAATTCTGTATTTCTTGTTCATCTCATCAACTCCGTAGAGACTTCCCAGCACACCAAGATGTTTGACACTTCGCACTTCACTGTGATTCTCCGTACTTCACTGTGATTCTTCGTACTTCATGATGACACTATACAGAGTCTAATTTTCGGAACCAGTGCCAGATATCTCGAGTCATATTTGGTTCTCACATTATTTTTGCGAAACGAACGATGCTCCGAACAGAAATTTCACAGCCATCCTTGGTTTTGAGGTACAGGTCGAAATTTGGAAATTCTCACTTTTTCTCCCGTGCCTTGATTGCCTTTCAACCTAACGCCAAGACGAAATCGAGTTCTTATACAGGGTGAGTCAGTTTTTTTAAGATGAAAATTCTATATAAACATATATGCGTGGGAGCTTCGTTTCCGATATACAGGGTTTCGAAGTTTAAAATTTGTTTGTGTTTACGAGGATGATACACTTTTGATGGTCCAGTTAACCCTCTCGAACTTTTTTGCGTACCGCTTCTGTTTTCTATGAAACATCAATTCGGTTTTTGCCTTCATATATACTCTTTAACCTTTTTTGTTTTTTCGAAAACTGCGGGTTTCAAGATAAATGCAAAAAAGAATTTACTCATAATGAAACAAACAGAGTCACTTTTGTTCCGATTGAAAAATGCTATTTTAATAAAATATTAGTGAAAATACCACTATTTTGAGTCACTTGAGCATGGCAGTGGCAACGCAGCTTTCATATCAGTTGTCATCCGACACGTTTTTAGTTCCTAGGAGTTAAACTCCATCTTAGGCTCCTAGACACTAAAAGTGTTGCCTAGCAACATACATACTAATCATTTTATTTTGTCAGTATGACAAAAGTCAACTTCAAGAGCTAATTTTGGAACAAAAATGGGCGATTTTTGAGCCGATTGCAGAAAAGCACATTTTTTTAAGATGTATACCTCATGTAAACATATATTCGTGGGGGCTTCATTTCCGATATACAGGGTTTCACAGCTTGTGATTTTTTTTTGTTTTTCAAGTTCGATACACCTGGTACACTTTAAAAACGCAATATTTGTGGCTATCGAGCGTTTTTGAATACCTACAGTATATCGGTAACGAAGCTCCCATGCATATACGTTCATAAAAGAGTTTCATCTTAAAAAAAGGTCTCCTTCAATCTGTTGAAGTCCTGCTACAAAAAGCTGACTTACCCTGTATAATCTTTTTGGTAGAATGATCGTAGAATTGTTTTTTAAATACGTGAACCCTGTATATTCCTCATCAGTTCGATTCAGATTCATTCAACTCCATGAAACAATCTGTTTGTTGACATTCTGTTCAATTTTTGATGCTCCACAGTAAATTCATGAACTTTGGCTATCGTTTGTTCCACAGCAAATTAATGTAATTTTGTGGAAACCGCAATTCTTGCGGGAATATAACAATTTTCTAGGTTCGGTCAGGTTGAGGGAGAATTATAGTAAGGGAACAGTGCCAATTAGCACTTCACGGCGGCACTACATGCGAATTTCGCACTTCATGGCGACTCTTCGCAGTTAATGGCGACTCTTCGCAGTTAATGGCGACTCTTCGCACTTCATCGTACCTTTTTACACTTCGTGGAAACTATTTGCACTTCATGGCGACTTAGCACTTCATGGTGACTCTTCACACTTCATGGCGGCTACGAGCACCATGTCCATGGGGTGGATATTGCGACCAAACACTGAATAATCGTGAACTTTCAGCTTTGGCATCTTTCGTGGCCGAATTGTCCATTTTATTGGGTTGTTTAGCAGCAGCGGCCGCATTACACAACATCCTCCTCAAAGGCGTCACACGTTTGCCGATGTCCTTTTTCGATACCGTCCCTGTAGGCCGGATTTTGTCAAGGTTCGCCAAAGATATGGAAGTGATGGACGAAAAATTGAACCGTTCTTTTTCAGACGGGATATATTGTACTTACGAGGTAACTGGATAGTCCTGTGTTATCTTAACCACTCAAAAAAGAAAGTTAATATAGTGGTGTAAACCTGCGCAGTTGCTCATCAAGCGAAAGCATATTCAATTCTAAATTCGTATTGTGTATGATACAGTATATCTAGAACAAACTGAGAGACAACCTAAATCAGTCGAGGTATACGTTAATCTGTAGAATTTTGCTCAATTTAAAGTGGAATTCTTCATGTCTTGTTTGATACATGAACTCAGTAGATATTTTCCAACACACCAATATGTTTCACACTTCGCACTTTTTTTGTGTGAAACGAACGATGATAGTAAGGTGGCGGTGACAATAAGCACTTCACGGCGACTCTTCGCACTTCATGGTCACTCTTTGCACCTCACGGTGACTCTTTGTGATTCACGGTGACTCTTTGTGTTTCATGGTGACTTTGTACTGCACGGCTTCCTTTCTGTTTCGGTCAGATTGAGTTGGGTCATGAGACGGTTGAGACTTCGCACTCAACAGTAACTGTTCACTCTTCTCGTTGACTTTTCGCTCAGATTGAGGTAGTTAGGAGAGTGAGACAATTAGCACTTCACGGTTACTATGTACTCCATATCGACTCTTTGGACTTTACGACGACTTTTTGCTCTTAATCGCGAGTTTTATACATCATGGTGACTCTTTGCACTGTTTGCCGACTTTTTAACTTCATGGAGCTTCTCGAAGACTCCACACTTCACGGCGACTTATTGCTTCTGATGGCAACTTTTCCATTTCGAAGCGACGTTTATACTTCATGGTGACTCTTCTGACTTCCCGACGACTCCACACTTCACGGGTACTTTTTGGCACTTGATGGCACCTTATCCACTTCATAGTGACGTTTATACTTTATGATGACTTCATGTACCTCTATGCACTTTTTAGTGACTTTTTGTACTGCATGCAGACTTTCGCACTTCATGGGGACCTTTTGCACTGCATGGCGACTATGAACTTCATGGTAACTATTTGCGCTTAATGACTAATCTTCGTACTTCATGGCGACTCTTCGCACTTCATGGTGACTCTTCGCACTTCGTGGCAACCCATCGCACTTCATGGCGACTTTTTGTGGGTTTCAGTGTTGCCGTCGGTCCTCGGCGATGTGGCATCGCAGCTGGGCTGCCTGGCTGCCAGCGTGACTTTGCATCGCAGCCTCTTAGGCGGCGTTTTGCGAAAGCCCATGTCCTTTTTCGATACGGTCCCTTTGGGACGGGTGTTGTCCCGCTTTTCCGCAGATATCGAGACAATCGACGATGATTTGCCGTGGTACGTTCGCGATGGGATGATCTGCTTTTTTGAGGTACTTAAAGAAAAAGAGAGCGTTTTATGGTACGTCGTTCTTTTGCGGAAAAACTGTGAAAAAACATATCTTCCAATCTTTTGCAAGCGATTTACCGTGAATGAAAAAGAAATAATGAGAGAATTCTGCTAAATTCAATTTTATTTTCAGATCTACCAAAGACGGCATGTTGCTGGATAAAGCATTCAAGCATTTTCGAACGTTTGTGTAGAGTCTTCGGAGTGTATTTTTGTTTTTGAGAATTGACAAACTATAAGGTTTCAATAACACGAATTCATAGTCTTATATCAATACAAATATGAATGCAAATCAATATTCCCAAATACCTTTATCCTATCTATATTAGCTATATATCCCTCCTGACCATGTTTGTTTCATTTTGTTCTTTCAATTTTATCAATTTATTTTTCCATTGATTATTTATTATCGGGAATTTGATGAAATAAAACACCTTAAATATAACTGCTTCGCATCTGTCAGTATTCAGTATCTACACTTTTCTGCACAGAGAGGAAGGCTTGTGTTCCTTTTAGAACAAAAAAAATCACAATTTCATGAGCAACTTGCAATAAATTGATTGTTTTTCGTGAAGGAGAAATATTTTTGTATGGTCTGTTTCAAGACAGAGACCAGTAATAGGTTCAATAGTTCCAGATTGACCAACGGCCAAGTGAAGTGAATCCAAAAAGCCTTCCTTTTTGTGTGTTTGTTCTTTCGGTTTCTTAACTAATCAAAAATGTTTTAGGTTGTAGGAACATTGTTCGTTATCAGTTATACGACGCCGTATTTTATATCAGTTATCGTGCCGATTGCTGCCATCTACTATTTCATACAAAGGTTTGTAGAAGTTCCATTTAATACACTTTTATTTTATTATAAAACAGTCAGCCATGAAGAGAGGCAACTTCGTGATATACTACATCAGTCTACAACGTTTATACATCAGATTATAGCGCGTTTCTGCGTTTACTGCTAGCATTCTGTATGGTCCAAGCAATCTGGGTCTAAATAAAAACCTAGTTAGTAGGCGATCGGTATAATTGTCTGTTTATTGAAAAAAAAAGCGAATATCGCCCCTATTGGCCACATTTTCTTTGATAGAAGTCCATAGTTTCTCATGGTGGAGTGAAGTAAGTAAATACTAAATAATATTCGAAGTCACCTCCAAGACAATTTGATATGATCAACAGATCAAATCATCCTCAGCCTTATAAAAAATTGAAATTACGTCATGGGGATGAAAAAAGAATAAGTTACATCTCAAAATCGTAATGAAAATTGATGGGTTTCATTGTATTTTTGGGAAACCCAACAAACCCCAAAGTGGCAGCAGCCTGTAGTTTTTTTAGTTGGAGAGATAAAAATTTGAAATTCACAAGGGATATATTATCGATGGTGGCGCTTACTTTGAACCCAATGACAATTTTTTGAACAACCTGTTTGATTGGAAGTAGACCCAACTTTTTTTTCAATGGCACCCCGTATATTTCTGTAGTCTATCTTATTCGCCTTGAGATTCTCTATTCAACTATGTTTCACAATTTGATAATCGTTCATTAATTGGCTGTTAAATTGCATTTTATCGAAATACATGGAGTTGGCTTTGACCCGAACACAATGACATTTCGATGTTTTATAGGCAAAGATCATCACTTAGACAATATTATCAGAAATTTTTCCTTCCCCCTTATCGGTCCCAGAAGATTGCCAATAATTTCATCGAGTTTAAAAAAATCATCCGAAAATAACTCACGATATTAGAACGATACATCAATTATTATCACAACAATATCAGTTTCATGTATCCAAATGGATGATCTTATTATGGCTGCATGGCAACAATGAAAGAGAAATAGTTTCATCACAAGTAGCCAAATGAAAAAAATTGAGTTTCTCATATTGACAAATATGGCCAGCGTAGCCTCATGGTAAGAGCGTCAATGTTCTATCCACGTTGGATTACCGGTAGTGGGTTCGATTCCCACCACGACCGCATACATTTTTCTGATGGCCTGAGAAAGAAATAAAATTGAAAGGTTTCAGTAAACTAGCGCCACAGACAGACACATTTTGGGTAAATGAACAGACAATATTATATCTTTCGCCTACTTATAATAAGGTTTTCATTTAGAAGGTTCATACATACAAACATCGAATAGATCAAACAATTTAACGATGTTGCCAAATGGCAACGATAGGCCGAACAGGGTCGATTATTTTTTCAAAGTATCTGAACGATCTGAAACTGCAGGTTCTACGTGGCCACATCGAGACAACTGAAACGACTGGAATCCATCACCAGATCGCCAATTTACTCGCATTTCGGTGAAACGGTCTCAGGGACACACGCCATCCGAGCTTACAGCCAACAGGAAAGATTCATGGTGGAGTCTGAGCGAAGGGTAAATTCCAATTTTATTCCTATCTCAAAAGAAATTAATATTTATCTACTCACTGAATCGGAAGTAGGCGTTAGGTTCAGCATGCATCCTCTTGCGTTGATTGCACAGTTTGATAGTTGGAGTCTCTACCCAACTAAAATCTCGAACCATCCTGTATTTGTTCCAATTGAATGGTAGATAGTGAATCCAAAGTTAAGATAGGGACATGTGAGCCATTTTGACCAATAATGAATAGTTTCGTCATGAAAAAATTCTGAAGTCATAAAATCTCGATTTTGAACACCCTATATATCTCTGTAATCCGCTAGACCCCAATTTTAAATGAAATCAGCTCTTCAGGGAATTCTAATAGAAGTGGCAACGCCGCATTGTCGAGAATATTTTAGTTGGATAGAGAATGTCCAATTATGTTGTTCTCCATCAAATTTTCAAAGTGATGCGATGTCTGCTTCAGTAGAAACCTCTAATGTTCTATCTACCTTGAATTAGCCCCTGTATATCTCAAGTACTCCGTACCAATAATTCGAAAACTATAAAGTCTCATTTTTTAGGTGGATTTGAACCAGATTTGCTACTATCCGAGCATCGTGTCCAATCGTTGGTTGGCCGTCAGATTGGAGATGATGGGCAACTTGATAATATTGTTCGCAGCGCTGTTTGCTGTGATTGGGAAAGATAAGGTGCCCGGATTGGTCGGGCTGTCAGTTACTTACGCCTTACAGGTGATTATTTTATTGCTTGATTATTTGTTTTTCCGCTGTGTAATATTTTATCACCAAATTTTCCCCGGTCACCGCGTACCATAAAACCGGCATAATCATAAGTGGTCCCTATTCAAATTTCAATAATCTTTTTTCTGTGACGGGAAAAAAGTTTGGCATTTCATCTCTGTTGACAGGTTATAAAATGTCAGTTTTCTTGAATTACTCTTTTCCCGTGAGAAAAAAATTGAGTACTTTTTTCCCGGATATATATCACATATATACAGTGTGTCCCACTTTTTAACGGTGAGAGATACGAGGTCGGTTAAATGACACCAAATGTGGAGTTTGTCAAGGCCAACTAATGTGAAAAAATATTTTGATGAAATCTATTCGTTTTTGTTTTATACGCAAAAAACAGATTTTGATCATTTTCATTTCTCCTCCGTAACTTCTTTAATTATGAAAATATTCAAATGGGAATTTCACATTCTCATGGCTGTTTTTCAAAGTGAATTCGAAAAGCATATGAAATTTATACCAACTCTTCTAGAATTTGAGATATCAGCACCAACTTTAGTTTTTCAAATGTAGATCAAAGCTCACTATGACTTAGTTACAAATAACTTTTTTTTGTCTTACAGATGATGTGTCGCAGTAATAGTTTTGTGTTGATAACAACGGAGTTATCGTCATTTATACAAAAACAAAAATTTATTTGGAAGCCGCCATTTTGAGTTTATAAATTTTAATAAGAAAATCATGATCTCCGACCTCCAAAAACCCCCACTTACCAATTTTGAATGGATTCGGACCAAATCTTGTCCGCCATCAATTTAAAAAAATAGCTGCTACAAGATGGCGGACAAGATTTGTTCCGATTCCGTTCAAAATTGGTAAGTAGGGGTTCTTGAGGTCACAGATCATGATTTTTTTTGATAAAATTCATAAATTCAAGATGGTGGCTCCCAAATGATCTTTTATTTTGTATAAATGACGATAACTCCGTTGTTATCAACACAAAACTATCACTGCGACATATCATCTGTGAGAGAAAAAAAAGTTATTTGTAACTATGTCATAGTGACCTATGACCTACATTTGAAAAACATAAGTTGGTGCTGATATCTCGAATTCTAGAAGAGTTGGTATACATTTTGAATTTTTTTCGGAATCACTTTGAAAAACTGCCATGAGAATGTGAAATTCCCATTTGAATATTTTCATAAATAAAGAAGTTTCGGAGGAGACATGAAAATGATCAAAATCTGTTTTTTGCGTATAAAACAAAAACGAATAGATTTCATCAAAATATTTTTTCACATTTAAGTTAGCCTTGACAAACTCTACATTTGGTGTCATTTAACCGACCTCGTATCTCTCACCGTTAAAAAGATACCCACGGTGAGCATTGTAAGTGGGACACACTGTATACACTGTTGATGACTTTTGTTGTGCTATAGTTCCGAAAAAATGAGTCAATAATACCGTCTCCGAGAAAGAACTACAAGTCCTTTTATCTTCCATTCGACGTCACGGTTACGTATATTGATAAACAACCACTAAGTTCGCAATTTTTTCAAATCAAATCACAGAATCAGACTGACAGAAGTGACATCAGATATTTGATTACTTTAAAAGAATGATAAAGATGGCTACAACGCAGGTGTCCCTACTGTTCAAAACTTAAAATTTCACGTCAATAGTTTTCAGATTTCAAAATAATGTAATATCTTCTCAATATTGATTCGTCCTTTCTTTTGTCACATGAAAAAATAGTGTATTATACGGGAAAAATATTGGATTTCAGCTCACGGTTTTTTGTCTCCGTCCGCTACGCGTCGGGAGACAACACAACCTAGAGCTAAAATCTACTTTTTTTTTTCTTGTATAATAACTAACTATTATTCATCAAATAGTTCAGCTTTTTTCCTGAAATTTTCTGGTGGCCTGGCCGACTCTGCCGTCTCTAACGAGCCGTCACTGGTGGTAAAAACATAACCGTCTCTTTCCCAGATCACGCAAACCCTCAACTGGCTGGTGCGTATGACCTCCGACGTGGAAACCAACATCGTGGCCGTGGAGCGCATCAAAGAGTACGGCGAAGCGCCGCAAGAGGCCGCATGGGAAATTCCCAACAAAAACCCACCTGCCGCCTGGCCCGAAATAGGTTCAGTGGAGTTCAAGAATTACGCCGTCCGGTATAGACCCGGGTTGGATTTGGTGTTGACCGGGGTGGATTTCAATATTAAAGGGGGCGAAAAAGTCGGCATTGTTGGTAGAACTGGTGCAGGGAAGTCCAGTTTGACTCTGTCCCTATTCAGGTATGTGTATTTTTCCCAACTCATCACTCTTAACTGGAATTTATGATTCTTTTCATTAATGTTACGATAAACGTCTTGGTTCGGTCTTTTACAAACACTCGGTAGATTTATCTACTGTTTAGTACTTGTGTGATCCTATATAATATGCTTTATTGCAATTGTCATATCAATCTTCAATATCGTCATAAAACCATACAAATACATCAAGGATCGAACATATTGGTCCTTCGAGCCGGATCTATTCGAATCAAACCTTCAAGTCTGCAAAGTTTTTCACAAAGGATACAGAGCAGCACTCGAGCCTAGCTGGAGTAACAGTGAATGCTAAGCAGTTTAGTTGTAGATTCGGCTTTTTCTCTCAATATTGTAATTTATTATCGGATCTTCCGGTATGAGATGCACCTTATAAGAGTAAGAAAAATAATATTCTATAGATGACCGAAAAATTGTCTTTTTTCTAAAATTAGTTCAAACAAAAAATGAATACTCAATCGACAAAAACACGCCTATCGCCTTGCTCGAAATAAGCTCGGTGAAATTGGAAAAATCAGCCGTCCGGTATAGACCCGGGTTGGATTTGGTGTTGACCGGGGTGGATTTCAATATTAAAGGGGGTGAAAAAGTCGGCATTGTTGGTAGAACGGGTGCAGGGAAGTCCAGTTTGACTCTGTCCCTATTCAGGTATGTGTAGGTTTATTTTCCTCAACTTATCATTCCTAGCAGAAATTTATGATTTTTTTCTCAATAATGTTACGATAAACGTCTCGGTTCGGCCTTCTACAAACACTCTGTAGATTCATCTACTTTTTAGTACTTGTGTGATCCTATATAATAACCTTTATTGCAATTGTCATATCAATCTTCAATATCGTCATGAAACCATACAAATACAGTCCACTATCTATCAAGGATCGAACATATTGGTCCTTCGAGCCGGATCTATTCAAATCAAACCTTCAAGTCTGCAAAGTTTTTCACAAAGGATACAGAGCAGCACTTAAGCCTAGCTGGAGTAACATTGAAAGCTAAGCAGATTAGTTGTAGATTCGGCTTTTTCTCTCAATATTGTAATTTATTGATCTTTCGGTATGAGATGCACCTTATAAGAGTAAGAAAAATAATATTCTATAGTTTACCGAAAAATTGTCTTTTTTATAAAATTAGTTCAAACAAAAAATGAATACTCAATCGACAAAAACACGCCTATCGCCTTGCTCGAAATAAGCTCGGTGAAATTGGAAAAATCAGCCGTCCGGTATAGACCCGGGTTGGATTTGGTGTTGGCCGGGGTGGATTTCAATATTGAAGGGGGTGAAAAAGTCGGCATTGTTGGTAGAACGGGTGCAGGGAAGTCCAGTTTGACTCTGTCCCTATTCAGGTATGTGTAGGTTTATTTTTCTCAACTTATAATTCCTAGCAGGAATTTATGATTTTTTTTCATTTATGTTACGATAAACGTCTAGGTTTTGGTCTTTTACAAACACTCGGTAGATTTATCTACTGTTTAGTACTTGCGTGATCCTATATAATACCCTTCATTGCAATTGTCTTATCAATCTTCAATATCGTCATGAAACCATACAAATACAGTCCACTATCTATCAAGGATCGAACATATTGGTCCTTCGAGCCGGATCTATTCAAATCAAACCTTCAAGTCTGCAAAGTTTTTCACAAAGGATACAGAGCAGCACTTAAGCCTAGCTGGAGTAACATTGAAAGCTAAGCAGATTAGTTGTAGATTCGGCTTTTTCTCTCAATATTGTAATTTATTGATCTTCCGGTATGAGATGCACCTTATAAGAGTAAGAAAAATAATATTCTATAGTTTACCGAAAAATTGTCTTTTTTCTAAAATTAGTTCAAACAAATAATGAATACTCAATTGACAAAAAGAAGCCTATCGCCTTGCCTTAAATAAGCTAGGTGAAATTGAAAAAATAAGCCGTCCTGTATAGACCTGGGTTTGATTTGGAGTTGTTAGGGGTGGATTTCAATATAAAAGTGGGTGAAAAAGTCGGCATTGTTGGTAGAAGAGCTTTATCTGCCTCTTCTTGTTGACTTTCCATGTTCTAAAAGTTCATTTTCAATTTTGCTGGAAAGCTGACAAATTTAAATTTACCATCCAACCGATTGATATTCTCCTTGAATGAATAAAAATTAAAATATTGAGTTTTTTTTTTTCAATATTCTTACGCTTATGGATGTGACGGGATGGCAATGTCAGGGATGCCAGTACTCAAAACTAAAGTCACTAGATTATTAAAACAGAAAGGGCCTTGGATCTGTCCATACCCTGATAAGATAATAAATACGTCAAATTTGCATCATGGGTCCCTAGTACAGATAAACATCTCAGTGATGAACGAGTAGGACACCCTGCGCCGTTGTCAAGTCTTTCTAACTTCAGAAGAATATGGAATTTAACACTCTGGCTGCCATGTCAGTCATTTTTGACCGACAGCTTGATCTCGTGCTGAGCCGAAACATTTTCATTGGTTTGAACGCGTCAGGCCACGCGAAGTTTTCAGAGTAGGGGACATCTAAGTGATCAGCATATTGCTGCTCATACATTGTAAAGTCGTTCTGCTGTACAGAAGAGCTTAAAAGGATGTCAGGTAAAATCGACCGACGCGGCCTGACAAGGCAATTTTTTTTTTCAATGTATCTGAGTAAAAGTGCATGATATACTCATATTGGTTATTAATTTATCGATAAACTCACAGGGGTTGGAACATTTGCTAAAACAGCAAAAGGATAAAACACCGACAGCTAGAAAAATTGTTCAATTCGTTACAAAAATCTCGTGAAACAATATGTACAAGAAAGGGGGTAGAAATGAGGTGAAGAGAGTGCGGACGCATTGAGAAGACTACGAGGAGATGCCTTCTATGTGCATTGAATGTTATGTGAAAACTCCTCGGAAAACTCATTCCAACAATAATTAGATTCAGATTCAGATTCATGTTCATGAGTTTTTTCACATTTTATATAATAAACGTTTTTGTAGCTATAAATTCATTCAATCTTTATTTCATTCTTTGCTATTAACATTACATTGCATCTCATATAAATATAATCATTAACATTTACAATGGAATAACATGAATAATCAGACAGATTCATATCTGGTATGAGATTATTCATGCGTTATCAAATTAAATCATAGTTATTGAAATAAACAACAGAATATGAAAAAAATAAATAAAACAAAAAGCTCATCAAAAGTACATTATGACATGATGAAATAAATTAGTCAATGAGAAATCATTCACTCAGGTTTGATTTTCTCTTTGCAAGAGGATATGTTTCTTGACTTTGATTTTGAATTGGGTGATATTTGTGCAACTTTTGATATCATTAGGTAATTTATTGAATTTTGAGATAGCTCCGTGAGTGAACTTTTTTTGACCAAGTGTAGAATGAGCAGCATCAAGATGAAACAAGTCATATTGTCTAGTATGATGTTCATGGATTTGAGAATTCCTTACCAATGTGAAGTTAGATTTGAGGTGTTTGTTGATAATATCAAAAGAAATTTTGAGAGTATTTATCAGAGAGTGCTCTTCCAAAGAAAATGTATTTGTTTCTTCATAAAGTTGATTTGATGGGGTGTCATATGGAAGACGATACAGTACTTTTAATGCTTTTTTATATAGTACAGATATTTTGTTGAAATTATTCTTGGCACATGAACCCCAAATATTTATGAGATAGTTTATTTTACTAAGGATGTGAGAGTATAGAACGGTATTTGCTATATTTGGGAGAAGTTTTGGACATCTTCTTAAGGCACCAACTATGGGGGAAATATTTTCTTTGAGCATGCCAATATGCTTGTTCCATGTTAACTTTTCATCAATCCAAATACCAAGGTGAGTGCCACAAAAAAATCACATACGTTCATTTGAGCGCCGCGAATTCAGATCTAATGGAGATTTGTATGCATCGGCGGTCGTTTTCGCATGACATAGCTCCAACTGAAACTTCTGCTGTCGGTTAAAAATCACTGCCAAGCACGGTTTTTTCTAAGTCACCGCCGGTCACATATGACTGACAAAGTCTGTAATAGAGAGGAAAAATCAGTGTCCCGGCAGCCAGAGTGTCGAAAAATATCACTCGATTTCTTGTTTTCTTTCCTCAAATAGAATAATCGAGGCGGCTCAAGGTCAAATCCTCATCGATGGCGTCGACATCGCCGAGTTGGGATTGCACACGTTGCGCGCCCGTTTGACCATCATACCGCAAGATGCCGTCCTCTTTTCCGGCACGCTGCGCATGAACCTGGATCCGTTCGATGCGCACTCGGACGAGGAGGTGTGGCGTTCGCTGGACCACGCCCATCTCAAGGATTTCGTCAAGGTATTCAATAATAATGATAATAATTGTAAAAAAAAAGAAGTAGCAGAGTGCTGTCCCTTGCCATCAGCAGACTGGGACAGCTTACTATAAACCTTCATTTTCGGAAATTAGGCACAATATCTACATCAAAAGTCGGTGTACCGGATTAACTTGAAAGGGCGTCATTTGAAGGGAAGGAAAATGACATCTGAGAAAATTTGTTGACATTCTATTCCTGTCATTTGGACGTTTTTGCTTTTGGGTGTATGATAAATTGACATTCATCATACAGGGCGTGGAAAGAAATTCTGAATGGAGACTCTATCACGAATCTGCGATTAGGAGTCTATAAAAATCACAAGTTTCCATCGTTCAAGTTACTGAGGAGGATTGCAAAAATTGCAGAAATTGCAACAATCGCAAATCTGCCTGAAAATTGCAAAAATTGCAAAAATTCCTGAAATTGCAAAAATTCCTGAAAATTAGAAAAATTTCTGAAAATTGCAAAAATTCTGAAAATTGCAAAAATCGCTAAAATTTCTGAAAATTGTAAAAATTCCGGAAATTTGCAAAAATCGCAAAAATTCCTGAAAATTGTGAAATTGCAACTTGAGATATGTTACCAGATTTAGTAACCCAACCTAAGATATGTTACCAGATCTAGTAACCTAACCTGAGATATGTTACCAGATCTAGTAACCTAACCTAAGATATGTTACTAGATCTAGTAACCTAACCTAGGATATGTTACCAGATCTAGTAACCTAACCTAAGATATGTTACCAGATCTAGTAACCTAACCTGAGATATGTTACCAGATCTAGTAACCTAACGCAAAAATTCCTGAAAATTGGAAAATTCCTGGAAAATGCAAAAAATCCAGAAATTTGCAAAAATCGCAAAAATTCCTGAAAATTGTAAAAATTTCGAAAATTCCGGGAAATTGCAGAAATAGCAAAAATTGCAAATATTCCTGAAAATTAGAAAAATTCCTGAAAATTGGCAAAATCGCAAAAATTCCTGAAAATAACAAAACTCGCAAAAATACCTGAAAATTGCAAAAATTGTAAAAGTTCCTGAAAATTGCAATAATTGCAAAAATTCCGGAAAATTATAAAAATTCCTGAAAATTGCAAAAAATCGCAAATTGCCTGAAAATTGCGAAAATTTTAAAAAAACTCCTGAAAATTGCAATTCCTGGGAATTGCAAAAATTGCAATTTTCAGGAATTTTTGCAATTTTCGCAATTTTCAGGCAATTTTGCGATTTTTGCAATTTTCAGTCATTTTTGCGATTTTTGCAATTTTCAGGAATTTTTACGATTTTTGCAATTTTCAGGAATTTTTGCAATTTTTTTCAATTTTCAGGAATTTTTCCAATCTTCAGGAATTTTTGCAATTTCTGCAACTTTCAGGAATTTTTTCAATGTTTGTAAATTTCCGAAATTTTTGCATTTTTCAGGAATTTTTTCAATTTCAGAAATTTTTGCAATTTCTGCAATTTTTACAATTTCAGAAATTTTTGATTTTTTCAATTTTTGTAAATTTCCGAAATTTTTGCATTTTTCAGGAATTTTTTCAATTTTCAGAAATTTTTGCAATTTCTGCAATTTTTACAATTTTCAGGAATTTTTGCGATTTTTGCGATTTTCAGGAATTTTTGCAATTTTCACAATTTTCAGGAATTTTTGCGATTTTAGCAAATTTCCAGAATTTTTGCATTTTATTTTCAGGAATTTTTGAAATTTTTACAATTTTCAGGAATTTCTGAAAATTGTAAAATTTCAAAAATCTAGTAACCTAACTTGAGATATGTTACCAGATCTAGTAACCTAACTTGAGATATGTTACCAGATCTAGTAACCTAACCTGAGATATGTTACCAGATCTAGTAACCTAACCTGAGATATGTTACCAGATCTAGTAACCCAACCTGAGATATGTTACCAGATCTAGTAACCCAACCTGAGATATGTTACCAGATCTAGTAACCTAACTTGAGATATGTTACCAGATCTAGTAACCCAACCTGAGATATGTTACCAGATCTAGTAACCTAACTTGAGATATGTTACCAGATCTAGTAACCTAACTTGAGATATGTTACCAGATCTAGTAACCCAACCTAAGATATGTTACCAGATCTAGTAACCCAACCTAAGATATGTTATCAGATCTAGTAACCCAACCTTAGATATGTTACTAGATCTAGTATACCAACCTAAATGTATTCAAGAAACGAAAATTGTAAAAATTTCAAAAATTCCTGAAAAATGCAAAAATTTCGGAAATTTGCAAAAATTGCAAAAATTCCTGAAAATTGCAAAAATTGCAAAAATTCCTGAAAATTGCAGAAATTGCAAAAATTCCTGAAAATTGTAAAAATTTCAAAAATTCCTGAGAATTGGAAAAATTCCTGGAAAATTCAAAAATTCCGGAAATTTGCGAAAATCGCAAAAATTCCTGGAAATTGTGAAAATTGCAGAAATTGCAAACATTCCTGAAAATTGGAAAAATTCCTGAAAATTGGAAAAATTTCAAAAATTCCTGAAAATTGGAAAAATGCCTGAAAATGCAAAAATTCTGGAAATTTGCAAGAATCGCAAAAACTCCTGGAAATTCCTGAAAATTGTGAAAATTGCAGAAATTTCAAAAATTCCTGAAAATTAAAAAAATTTCTGAAAATTTGCATAAATTCCTGAAAATTGTGAAAATTGTAGAAATTGCAAAAATTCTTGAAAAATTTGAAAATTTCCTGAAAATTGCAAAAATTCCTGAAAATTGCAAAATTCGCAAAAATTCCTGAGAATTGTAAAAATTCCTAAAAATTGTAAAAATTTCAAAAATTCCTGAAAAATGCAAAAATTTCGGAGATTTGTAAAAATCGCAAAAATTCTTGAGAATTGTGAAAATTGCAAAAATTCCTGAAAATTAAAAAAAATTCTGAAAATTTGCAAAAATTCCTGAAAATTGTGAAAATTGCAGAAATTGCAAAAATTCTTGAAAATTTGAAAATTTCCTGAAAATTGCAAAAATTCCTGAAAATTGCAAAATTCGCAAAAATTCCTGAGAATTGTAAAAATTCCTGAAAATTAAAAAAATTTCAAAAATTCCTGAAAAATGCAAAAATTTCGGAAATTTGCAAAAATTGCAGAAATTCCTGAAAATTGCAGAAATTTTCAGGAATTTCTGAAATTTTTCCAATTTTCAGGAATTTTTGCAATTTCTGTTAGTTTCACAATGTCCAGGAATTTTCGAAAAATTGCGAATTTAGTGGTTGTTTAGTAATATACGTAACCGCGAAGTCGAATGGAAGATAAAAAGACTTGCAGTTTTTTCTCGGAGACGGTATTATTGATTTATTTCTCGGAACTATAGCACAAAAAAAGCCATCAGCAGTGTATGTATATATATAAAAAGTACTCACTTTTTTCCCACGGGAAAGAAGTAATTGATGAAAAGTGACATTTTATAACCTGCCAACAGAGATGAAATGCCCAACTTTTTTCCCGTCACAGAAAAAATAAAATAAATAGATGAACCCTCGGATAAACCATCAAAAAAAAATTTGCAGGATTGAACGCCGGCCTGAACCACGAAGTGTCCGAAGGCGGGGAAAATCTGTCGGTCGGCCAACGGCAGCTGATCTGTTTGGCGCGTGCGCTGTTGAGGAAAACTAAAGTGTTGGTGTTGGACGAGGCGACGGCCGCCGTCGATCTGGAAACGGACGATCTCATCCAGAGGACGATCCGGGAAGAGTTTAGGAATTGTACTGTGCTCACGATCGCCCACAGGTAAGGAAGATTTTTTTTTCGTTACTCTACCGGGTGACAACGAAACCATTGGTCAAAGCGTCATTCAGTTGCTGTTTATGTTTGATATAATAGGAAATATCGGGGAGTTCAGTCAATCGGGCTGCAAGCAAACTACTTAATTGCTATGCCAAGCTTTCAAAAATTTTTATTTTTTTCAAGGCTGAAACAATATATTGTATATGAATCAAGGAGGATTTTTTTGTTTTTTTTTGTTACTCTACCGGATGACAACGAAACCATTGGCAAAAGCGTCATTCAGTTGCTGTTTATGTTAGATATAATAGGAAATATCGGGGAGTTCAGTCAATCGGGCTACAAGCAAACTACTTCATTGCTATGCCAAGCTTTCGAAAATTTTTAGTTTCTTCTTCAAGGCTGGAACAATATATTGTATATGAAACATTTTGTTACAAGTCTAACTTGCAATGCGAGTTAGAAGGTGTACATTGGAAAATAATGGGAGAAAAGGTTTCTTTCCTCCCATGTGTGTTTAATGCCCTTCGCTAGCGTCGTGCATCAAACTTCAAACGCGGGAAATGGATACCTTTCCTCCCTTGATATACAGTGTGTCCCACTTACCATGCTCACCATGGGTATCTTTTTAACGGTGAGAGATACGAAGTCGGTTAAATGACACCAAATGTGGAGTTTGTCAACGCCAACTATAATGTGAAAATATATTTCGATAAAATCTATTCGTTTTTGTTTTATACGCAAAAAACAGATTTTGATCATTTTCATGTCTCCTCCGTAATTTCTTTATTTATGAAAATATTCAAATGGGAATTTCACATTCTCATGGCAGTTTTTCGAAGTGATTTCGAAAAAATATGAAATTTATACCAACTCTTCTAGAATTTGAAATATCAGCACCAACTTTAGTTTTTCAAATGTAGGTCATTGCTCACTATGACTTAGTTACAAATAACTTTTTTTTCTCTCACAGATGATATGTCGCAGTAATAGTTTTGTGTTGATAACAACGGAGTTATCGTCATTTATACAAAAACAAAAAATTATTCGGAAGCCGCCATCTTGAATTTATAAATTTTAACAAGAAAATCATGATCTCCGACCTCAAAAACCCCCACTTACCAATTTTGAATGGAATCGGACCAAATCATGTCCGCCATCTTGGAGTAGCCATTTTTTTTCAATTTCAAAGAAAATTCCATAATGAATTGTCACCGAAATTTATGAACACCTGTCAAATTTCAAGTTAATCGGAGTTATGGAATTTTTGTTGAAATTAAAAAAAATGGCTGCTCCAAGATGGCGGACAAGATTTGGTCCGATTCCATTCAAAATTGGTAAGTGGGGTTTTTGAGGTCGGAGATCATGATTTTTTTATTAAAATTTATAAAATCAAGATGGCGGCTTCCAAATAAATTATTGTTTTTGTATAAATGACGATAACTCCTTTGTTATCAACACAAAACTATTACTGCGACATATCATCTGCAAGAGAAAAAAAAGTTATTTGAAACTAAGTCATAGTGAGCTATAACCTACATTTGAAAAACTAAAGTTGGTGCTGATATCTCAAATTCTAGAAGAGTTGGTATGAATTTCATATTTTTCTCGAAATCACTTTGAAAAACTGCCATGAGAATGTGAAATTCCCATTTGAATATTTTCATAAATAAAGAAGTTACGGAGGAGACATGAAAATGATCAGAATCTGTTTTTTGCGTATAAAACAAAAACGAATAGATTTTATCAAAGTAAAAAGATACCCAAGGTGAGCATGGTAAGTGGGACACACTGTATAAATAGCTATTTTATGAACTCAATTAACTTATTCGACCGTTCAGGGCCAATAATCTGACGGAAACATTCCAACTCACCCTCCCGTTTTTACGGTAATCGAAAATCAATCAAAAAAAGTCGATTTCTTGTTATCAACACTCATTTACGCAATTGATACCATCACAACGCCCTTGCCTTATCTGAAAAATCACGAAATCAATTCGAGATATTGAGCAGAGCAATCGATCCAAATGAAGGATTTGTGTTTAGCAAATTCTGAACATTTCTCCAAAAAAGAAAAAAAAAAATTTCTTCTGTTGAAGTTGTCGATGATTTCAACGCAATAGGAATCCATTTTCTTTCCATCGTATAGAGTGGCAAAATGCTTTGAATGTGGCTTGCATAATCTTAAAATCGAAAAAAAGAGAAATTATCGATTTTTAACATCCTGTATTAGGGTATAATTACAAAACCGTTTAAAGATATTGACTTGAACCTTCGGAAAGAACGATTTATAGAAAAATAAAAAAAAATCCGTGAAATACTGAAGCATCGAATTGTTATCATTTTTGTAGTACTTTTTTCGAACACTTGGTGTATAGTGACAGAAAAACTTCTGTTTTGAGTTTTGAACAAGGAATCGAAGAGAAAGATCGCATCTTCTAAGTACTGCATTCCGATTGAAAATCCATTCATTTTCTAAAAGAATATGGCAGATTGAAAATTCGCGAAAATCACGAACCAAAAGATGGCGCCTGTCCAACGTCAAATTTCAAAATAGAGGTGAACAACAAACTGTTGTCACTTAGTTGTCACATAATATTTCAGAAAAATGCCTAAAGTTGAAGTGTCCATCGCGGATATATTAGAATATATTGGCGATGGGGTGAGACCCTTGAAAGAAGGAGAAGCAGTTTTTAGAGCAGGTCACATTATATTGTGTGGGGTGGATGCAGAACAAACGCATGTGATCAAAAGCTTGTGTTTACAATCATCTGCATTAGCAGAGTCTCCTCATGAAATAAGTATCATCCCAAATGAAAAAAACATTTTCGAATGCAAATGTACTTGCCTTAAATGAAATTTGCAAGCATAGATGTGATTTAAAGAAGTTCAATTCCTTAAACTTTACCTTCAGTTAAAGATTTATTGAAGGATGTAAAATTTCCAGGTAAGAAGTGCTTACTACAAACGTACATATTATTGGTTATTGGTTTACCAATCTTCAACAAATTCCTCCATCTTTTACACAATTTGGGGTTCCAAAGTGGAAATTTGTGTAAAGAAACACTGTCTGTACAATATGAAGAGCACTGCGGAACTGAACAACACTTTCTCGATTTCGTATTTTTGGTTTTATGTATTTGCTGCATGTTGAAAGGTTGAAAATATCTACCTATCCCATATACCTATACAAAATAATCACGAAAATCATTGAAAATAGTCTACTTTTAACTATAAAAGTATTGAATCATAATGCTGACATGACAATGTGACAATAGTGACAAGTGGTGACAATGCTAAAATGGATTGTTGTTCACCCTTAGATCAACGCTTAGATCCTACAGATGATCTAAGTGTTCACCTCTATTTTATTTTCAAAATCAAACACCAGAGGCCACCCACTTCGTGATTTTCGCGAATTGTCAAATATTACAGTGGTCCACTTGTTTCTTATTTTATTATAAAATTTGGTAGGACATTCAGGTGGACCAGTCATTAGTCAAACAGTTTACATTTTTATTTCACATTATTTCCTGTTTTTTCAGGCTGAATACTATCATGGATTCGGACAGGGTGATCGTCCTCGACAAAGGAAAGATCGTCGAGTTCGACAGTCCGCAAAATTTGCTGGCCAACAGTGAGTCGATATTTTATAGCATGTCGAAGGACGCGGGGTTAGCTTGAATTTTTTCGATCTGTTTTTCGAAATAGCCGATTTATATTAGGCCCAATTCACTACTCGATAATAACATCACATCTGGTATTTGTTTTTTTTTTCTTATTCGGATACACATGTGAATGTTTTATATTTTTGTACTTAAGTTTTACAATCGAAACTTGATATTATTTAGAAAGAATGTGATTGTCTTGTTTACTTAATCATTTTTAGAATCAATTTTTGTGTTAGGGTGATTTTTTCCTTAAGAGCAATTCAGTTTTCTTACACTTTTTACACAACCAGTATTCTTGCCCCTGTGTCTACGAATAACACTTTTATCGATGTATACCAGTATAATTGAGAAATTTTATATACTTTCATCTGTTTGTTAATAAAAAAATAACTAAATATTTTAGATACTTACTGCCTTTCCTCACTCTTCAATTTCGATAGACAGGGTGTCCCAAATAAATATACGTCCAAAACTTTCGGATACAGTGAAAAATAATGGTGTTCTAATTAAAAATTCTGAAAGTTTTGCCGTATATTTATGGGACACCCTGTAGCGAGTTTATGTTACACGATTATATCAACTCCAAGAAAACACGCTGCTTTTTCAATGTGTTGATATAAACACTAGTGAAATATTCGTCGGAATTCCATCGGAACCGTATTCTATCGGAACCGTATTCTATCGGAACCGTATTCTATCGGAACCGTATTCTATCGGAACCGTATTCTATTGGAACCGTATTCTATCGGAACCGTATTCTATCGGAACCGTATTCTATCGGAACCGTATTCTATCGGAACCGTATTCTATCGGAACCGTATTCTATCGGAACCGTATTCTATCGGAACCGTATTCTATCGGAACCGTATTCTATCGGAACCGTATTCTATCGGAACCGTATTCTATCAGAACCGTATTCTATCGGAACCGTATTCTATCAGAACCGTATTCTATCGGAACCGTATTCTATCGGAACCGTATTTTGTCGAAACCATATTTTATCATAACAATATTTTTTCAGTAAAGCATTTTTTCAGAACCGCATTTTTTCAAAACGGTATTTTATCATAACAATATTTTTTCAGTAAAGCATTTTTCCAGACCCGCATTGTATCATAACAGTATTATTTCAGAACAGTATTTTATAATAACAATATTTTTTCAGTAAAGCATTTTTTCATAATAGTATTTTCTCAGAAACACATTATTTCAGAACGGTATTTTATCATAACAATATTTTTTCAGTTAAGCATTTTTCCAGAACCGCATTGTATCATAACAGTATTAGTTCAGAACAGTATTTTATAGTAACAATATTTTTCCAGTAAAGCATTTTTTCATAATAGTATTTTCTCAGAAACACATTATTTCAGAACGGTATTTTATCATAACAATATTTTTTCAGTTAAGCATTTTTCCAGAACCGCATTGTATCATAACAGTATTAGTTCAGAACAGTATTTTATAGTAACAATATTTTTTCAGTAAAGCATTTTTTCATAATAGTATTTTCTCAGGAACACATTTTTTCAGAACGGTATTTTATCATAACAGTATTTTTTCAGTAAAGCATTCTTTCAGAACCGCATTTTATCATAACAATATTTTTTCAGTAAAGCATTCTTTCAGAACCGCATTTCATCATAACAGTATTTTTCAGTAAAGCATTCTTTCAGAACCGCATTTTATCATAACAATATTTTTTCAGTAAAGCATTTTTTCAGAACCGCATTTCATCATAACAGAATTTTTTCAGGAACACATTTTTCCAGAACCACATTTCAGCATGACAGTATTTTTTCAGAACAGTATTCTATCATAACTGTAAATTTCAGAACGCCATTTTAATCATGCCGAGAAAATACTATATCTGCTATATTCTGATTATACAGAGTGAATCCTGAGTGAGGTTTTTTATTTAACAGGGTATATATGTCGCCAAAGTGAGCTGTTGATGCTTCATTCCCCCTTTTTGAATAATTTTTGTGATGAAACCTGTAGGGTATCTAATGGTGGCCTAGTAACGCCTTTTTTTTTAGAAAATGTAAACAAAATGTTCTCCAGTTGTAAGTCTTCTTTGAACCTTCAAATACCTGTACCTCCGTTATCTTCAATACTATAGGCAATTTTTTGCCAAACAATTCAATTTGGTGAGATATAATATATCCTGTTGAAAATAACCTCACTTTCAGATTCACCCTGTATACGGTTCGGCTGGAATACGTTCTAACGAACTATATGCAGCCAAGGTGGATGATAATGAAACAAAATAATATTCTTACTTAGTTTATTCAACCAAAACTTTGGTATACAAGCATTCAGAAATTAGTGTCAAAAAAATGGCAAACTCGTATAAAACACACTATATACCATCCAAAATGCCACAATCCAAATCAGTAAGATTGAATGAGAGAAAAATTGTGTACAAAAGGATTAGTATTTTTAGATTACAGAGAAGATTCAAATATCGCGGAAATTCATAATCAAATACACAATAAGATACTTTTAAATATTTCATCGCTTATTTCTAATGGTTATATAATATAGCACACTCACAATACAATTATTACAGTAATCAAATGGCATTTCAAACCATTATCACAAAAAACTCATTAATCAATCGTCACTTCTTCTTTTATGCAAGCTGTTACGGCTCCTAAGCACATTTCGATAGATGACTAGTTTATGTGTGTGAAAAAAAAAATGACAACCAATCGGCCATTTTGTGTCGAGAGTAAAACGAAACTGCAAACTACTTAGGAACTTTAACTTTGTTAAGAACAACATAATAATTATTATTGATTGGAAAATTCGTTAGCAGCTATTGAGAATTATAATTCATTTCTTTCGACGTCTAAAATGCCACCATGGTAAATTTTATAGGACACGTGACTAAAACTACTGATATCTTAGGATTATTACTTAAATAAATAGGTACAAGCTTCCCGATATCTGCCTGTTTTTTGAGTATTATCATCCATTATTCGAGGTCGAGAAATTTTGCTATGGAAACTTCATTGAATATACTTATTTTCATAAACATCTACAATATGTTTTCTGCATGCATTAATTCGAGGACACAGATATTACTGGAATATTCATTTTTCAGCCTACGAGAGAAAGAGAGAAAAAAACAAATAAATGAGGGCGAAACGTTCGACAGTCCGATCGTGTTTCGAAAAAATTTAATCGAAATGAAAAACGTATCTACGTGTGGACTGGAACATGTCAGTACTGCGAACGTCCACCCCTATACAGCTACAATTATATTATAATATATATTTTTTCGCAATAGCGTTTTATATAATGACGAATTGGCGACGCACAACCTTCATACACTTGTACAATGAATATAACGAAACCATTGTCGCCAATCGTCGACTATTCAAAACGAATGAACTATCAAATTAAGCGAAATCAAACAAGCTACCTATACAACAAAATGTCTACAGCGACACGGATTTTTTTTTATAAAATGAACCGTTAACACCTCAAATAATTCAAAAAATAACATATCATCATTTAGAATTCATGATACTGCCACAGTATCCATTGATTTCCTATCAATTTCGTTACAACCCTAATATTCATCAAATCTTTGTTCGTTCTAATTCTTCTGTTCACCTTGTAAAATCCTCCATCTTATTTCCTATTGTATGGGAATATTTTACTTTTCCGTTAACCCCTTGATCAAAACATTTTATTTAGTTCGTTAGCAAGCAGTCTTATAAATTGAGAAGCTTAACAGAAAAAAAAACAGACAGGGTTGAACGGAAGTCCTGGAATGGTCGTATTAATCGAGAACTAGTCGTTAGATTTTTATTTCGAAAATTACGGCCAATGTCTGTTGCTCTAAATATCGCATCAATGTCTTTTTTTATGGAACACCCTATACAAATGTAGGAAACTTTGAAAAAAGTCGAAAAGTCGATTTCGATTTAGAAAAAGAGCAATAAATATATTGAAGTTTGATGACACCTGCTAAGATTTTGATTCTACTATTAAAAAAAATTACAAATTTTTAACTAATCTCAAGTTATATTCCTTCGATTCACTCAGTATATTTTTGAAATCAGCAAAAATCACTCTTTAGATATGCAATAAAATATCACTATCATTTGAGTATCAATCGCCAGTAGCATACATAATTTGGGCAAATGAAATCATCAATACATTTCATATTAACAGTTCATAAATGTCTAAAATGGTCGTGCATAAAATGTTGTATGTATTTCGGGCGTAACTTGCTTTAATGGACCCCGGCGCTTACACGTTGCGGTCCATAAAAGCCTACTTTACGCCCTTGATACATAAATAACTATTTTAACGCTGAAATTCTGAGAATATTGAGTCAAACCTAGAAGATATTTTTGTATCAAAATGTTACTGTTGTCAAACGTTCTCCATAAAAATCGATTCAGCTGATATGGAGACACGACAAAATTGCCTCCATCAAAATATGAAAGGACATAATTGGATACTTCAGATCGTTTCTTCGCGACGATCACAACAACCTCAAACAAAACACACTCTTATGGTTGCCCCTATAACTAATGAATCAGTAATTTTCATTTTCGCATGACAAAGTTCTGACTAACTAGGTATAGTGGCAAACTAAAGAGAGAAGATTGGGTGTGGTACCCTTTTGGTACAAAATTTTCGGAGCTTCTGATGGCGTGACTAGAACTTTTTAACGATGTGGATTCACGAGTTATATATGGATAGTCCGCACAAGCTCACTTCTAGAGAAGTCTGAACAACATCAAAAAGTAAATCTTTTACATACTAGTCCAGTTTTCATTTGACTGATATTGCATTCGAATTGGAATGACAGTTGAGAAGTAATCAACTAATAATTTCATTCAGTTGTTCCTCTAAAGCGCCGAATATCTCGGAACTAGACGGACTTAGGAAAAAATAGTATTTGTTTCAGCAGTAGCATTTTCACCTGTATACCAATAATTATGAGTATTGGGTTACTTATGCGTCTGCCTGTAGAGGTAGTTGAGATCGAGGTTGAGATATTTTACTGCATGTATGGAGGCAAGAACAGTTCATGTTCAAACATGAACTATTTCGAGTCATGGCATCCCTTCTCAAAGTGGTCCAGTATTTTTCGACAGGAGAAAAACGAACTCAAAGTCGGTCGACCAAAATATTCAATATAAAAAATAATCAGTGTGTGACTATAGTTTCGGCTCTACGGCTATCTTCAGACAATGAAAAAGTACCTAGAAAGTAACAAGTAGTACAGATGTAAAACAAAATAGTAGCTGAGAAAGAGTTGACATACCTGTTATGTACAAAACATCTTAACAATAAAAAATTTATATAATTATCAGGTCGTTATAAGCAATGATCAATCCAGCCTCACATTCAACAAATTTTGTAACGGCTGAAAAGCCAAAAGAACATTACTATGAGTAAGTTAAGCATCAGGATTTGTAAACAGGATTTGTAAATCTACTCAATTGAGCTTCCTGATGCTGAACTTACTTATAGTAATGTTCTTTTGGCTTTTCAGACGTTACAAAATTTGTTGAATGTGAGGCTGGATTGATCATTTCTCATAAAGACCTGATAATCATATGACTTTTTTATTGTTTTCTACATGTTGTATGTCAACTCTTTCTAAGCCACCATTTTGTTTTACATCTGTACTACTTGTAACTTTCTAGGTACTTTTTCATTGTGTCTGAAGATAGCCGTCGAGCCGAAACTATAGTCACACACTGATTATTTTTTATATTAAATATTGTGGTCGACCGACTTTCGAGTTCGTTTTTCTCCTGTTGATGAGCAATTTTATTCATACAGTAAATTAAACAATTCAAGATGAAGAACATTTAGCCATTTTGAGCGTCTAAGCACTTCATGCAATCATCTTTAGACAACAAAGTCTGATATGACCAACGCAAAGTGACTATGTGCCTTAAAAAATCCTTCGTGTGTATAACGGTTCATTTTTGCACCCGTCTGCCGACTAAAACAGTAATCGAAAAAATATCATAATGTAAACAAAAACAAAACGCCCTGACCTAATTAATTTATAACCCAAATAATCATTCACAAACCACAAAATATCACATGACACATTGAGCCACTGTACAACGAAACAAAAAAATGCGGACCGCGTGTATCTCGGTCCGTATACACAGAAGATATCGCCGAAAAAACTTGGGCAAAATGTGTACGTATTCGTAATAGCGGCTTTGGTAGGTAGCCCCCAACAAAACGGTAAGCAATTAAAATAAATACATTCACCAGCAAAATAATCGGATCCACTCGAAATGTCGATGAAGTTTGCTTGTCAACAATTTTTTCTACAACCGATTAACAAAATAGTAATCGACGCTGTCTACACAAGATTGAAGTTTTTTCATGACACGTCATTATTTGACAGCTTTAACACCGCGTGAGGTGCCTTCGATTATCAGCTGATCAACTCTCAGAAAGGTTAGTTGGAGATTCCATCAGTTCACTCTTGAGTTTCTTACTATTTAATATAGTATTAGTATAATTTTATAACTATCATTGTTCACGCTTTATACACAGTTGGTAATGTCGAATACCATTGTGTTTTATTATACAATTGAGAAATTAATGAAGAACCTTCAATGTCAAACTAAAATTTAAAAAAAATAATAGTCTTTTTACCAACTTTGACTGAGATTAACCAAGATTCTCAGTGCAGCTCAATAGCTCAGTTGTTTTCATGTTTCAATTATCTTAGTCTGATGTGAGTGGTCTTAAGAACTTCTTGAGACTATTTCTTCCCCCTCACCCCAACTGAGCTTGCTATTCATCTAGTGTTGTAGTGAGAAAAAGGTGAGACTGGATTGATTCTAGTAATTCTGTGGTTCTGTGCTGAAAATTGTGAGGTTATATTTCCATTTTGACAAGCTTTCAGCTCTGAAGTTTCAGTCCACAGGTTAAATCCTTAAAAAAAATAATCTATAAAATTAGTGAGTATTGTGTCTAGTAATTATTGACTGTTATTATGCTATATTTTGGTTGAATTATGTTGGGTTATGTTTTCTTCCATTGCCCTTCCTGACAGATAAAAACGTGTTCTTTTTATTCGATCGACAACTCAGATCCGTCTCACCTCCTCCTAACTCAATTGATCTCAGTAGTGAGAATGTAACAATGTAAAACGAATATTGCTCTTAGCTGTATCAAAATCCTACATGGTCCTTCGAACCGGATCATCTGATAGCTGTCGTGGAGCTTTCTACTAAGGGAAACGAGAGTGGGTCGTAAGCTAATTAGCTTCTGTTTTCTATTTGCTTGATCAGATTGTTTGTAATTAAATAATTTATGTCGAATTTTGCCTACAGTTGTTTCCTACATAATCAAATTGACTGATTTATCAGGTTGCCGTCGACTCAAATTGGTGAGGATTGTGAAATTTTTTAGAGTTTTGAGTCTGGACACACAGTGAATAACGTTCTAGCCATAGAACTTCTCCAATTATTTTTTGTTTCCTGGAGTTTGGTTCCACTTCCTTCGTAACATTCAGGTCAGGATGAATTGATGCCTGATCTACAGGAATCAAAAAAATGTCAATATAATTTTGATGCACATCACAAAATACTTTCATCAGAAAGTTTCACACTTGACTGGCAAATGATCAATAGTGACAGCTGTTTGTTTTGAAAACGTACCTATCGGCAAATAATTTACCTTGTGACGACACAACTTTCCCGGTCCATTAACAAAGTTATTGATCAGCAAACTTCATCGATATTTGGAGAGGATCGATTATTTTGAAATGCACTCATTATCGTAGTCAAAAAGAAAGAAAAAAAAAACATTCACACTGAGTACTCACGTCAATTTCAAAAACTTTGAACGAAGCAGATGAATTGAATGGAAAAAAGTCAACATGTGAAGAAAAGATTCAGTCTCAAATAATATCGAGTGAGTATTCAGCGTATACAGAGTATGTGGGATCAGCGAAATGGTCCTACCTTCTGGTAGTGAAAAGTGAACAGCTCGGTGTGTTGCTGAAGGTGTTCGCTGTCGCTGTCCAGAAACTGTCTCGATTATTTTTCTCGTATCTTCTTACAAATTACACTGCCATAGTATCGTAGGCTGTGATTCCCCCGTTTGTGGAGCTGGCTTTCCCTGTTTCGTTTCTAACATGATAATAGATAATGAGAAAAGATAAAAATAATGGGTGAGTTGTTAGGTTATAACACACCAAAAAGCATTCACCGAGTGAATTAGAATGACACATGTGCAAAGAAAAACACACACAAAAAACAAACATGGAACAAGACAAACAACAATAAGAAGCATTATTACTGTGCTGACTTACAGTTTCCTGCTTGAGAGGAATTCGTGTAATAAATCAAATTGGTTAATCCTGGATTATTCACTGTTTGTGATGTGACGATGATCGAATGATTCAGAAACTCTTCTGTACAAGTTAGATGACAATGCACCAGCGTTAGATTTCGAGTGAAATTACCAAATTTTGAATCAACTCAGCCCTAACTCAATGAAAATCCATAGTAATCATGGAAACTTCACAGACGATTAGACTTCCATAAAATTTTCGAAAACCCCGACGTATTTCGCTAACCCAGTAGCTGATCGATTGAAATATTCGTACAATGAATTAACCTGACATTGACTTGCCTTATTCAGGTGAACTAGGCGAACATAAAAGGATTAGAATTACCGCAGGCGCAAGCTAGTTCATCCTTCATTATGGAAAGTATGCACAATAATTTCACACACCGAAATTTGAAACCGATTATTGTGCATATTTTTTAAAATTTAGAATCAACCTGCTCGCTCACATGTTAGTCCATAACCTTTAGATTCGTAAGTATACCGGGTGACATAGGAGACATAATATGTAACAGCCTTTAGTTTTTTTATCTGAAGAGATACAAATTTGAAATTCACAAAGGTTATATTATCGATGATGGCGCTTCCCTTGAAGCCAATGACAATTTTCTTCAACACCTGTTTGATCGGAAGTAGACCCAACTTTCTTATTTCAAATGGCACCCTGTATATTTCTGTAGCCTATCTTATTTGCCTCAAGATTCTCGTTATTCGTTCATTTATTGGCTGTTGAATTGCATTTTATTAAAAAATATAAAGTTGGCTGTGGCCCGAATGCAATGACATTTCGATGCTTGATAGGATTAGGAATCCAAAGATCTAACTCAGTTTTTTTTCATTTGGCTACTTGTGGAGAAACAATTTTTTTTGCCATGTAGCTATAATATGCATCCATTTGGATACATGAAACTGAAATTGTTGTGATAATTGATGTATCGTCCTAATATAGTGAGTTATTTTAAACTCAATGAAATTATTGGCAATCTTCTGGGACCGATTACGGTATTGAAAATATTCTGATAATATGGTCTAAGTGATGATCTTTGGATTTCTAAAGCTACTCTTACATTACAGCCTTTTTGCAGCAACTTTATTGCAAGCAATATAAATTGCACGCAAAATTAAAAACTAGAGAAACTAGTCTTCTTACATTTGCGACATTTTCCAAGACTTTTTCAGAGTTTTCGAACTATTGACGTTGACATTTGACATCATTTTTGACATTATAAGTTGTTGATATTTCAAAATAAACAAGTCAAGCGAAATTAGGTGGAAATTCATTTTGGAAATGGATAAAGGAAAAATACAAGTTTTACTCATGGCAATTACTACTACTGCTGCTCTTGCCACTTACATAAAAAGGCGCATGGAAAACAGGAGGAATAGATCCTGTTGGAACAAACCATGGTTAAATAAAACAATGGGGAACTTAAGAATAACTAATGAATTCAAAGAGTGTAATGACTTGAAAGCTTTTAAAAATTATCTGAGAATGGATGAGCCTACATTTAATGTTAATGATTCTTCTTCTACTTTATAGTCGACCATTATACAGAACCACCAACACGATAATTAAGTTGTCAAAATCTAAAATCACTAAAAATATGCAAAGTGGCGCGTGAATGACCTTCAAAATTAGAAACATTTCTATATATTTCAAGCCTGAAAGTTGCAGTGAAAATAGGCCGTAACGCATGCGCAATTATTGTTTAACAAAGGCCAGCAATTCAGTTGCCAGCAATTTCTATGAAAAGGCTGTAATGTAAGAGTAGCTTAAAGTATCAAGCATCGAAATGTCATTGTATTCCGGCCACAGCCAACTTCATGTATTTCAATAAAATGCAATTTAACAACCAATTAATGAACGAATATCAAATTGTGATACATAGTTGATAAGAGAATTTTGAGGTACATAAGATAAACATCAGAAATATACAGGTGGGGTCTACTACCAATCAAACAGATGGTTGAAAAAATTGTCATTGGGTTCAGGGAAAGAGCCATCATCAATTATTTAACCCTTGTGAATTTCGAATTATTATCTCTTCAATAAAAAAACTACATGCTGTTACGTGTCTCCTGTGTCACCCGGTATACAGGGTGGGGCATCGGAGTTCGATTGCTCAAAATTAGGTTATGTTGTTGTACGAGTATTTCTCTCAGATAAGATATTGTGTTAGCTAAATATATGTTTTTAAGAATTTCGTGACAATCTTATCGTTCGTGAAATTTTCATTTCAAACATGGTCATAAAATACATCTAGATAATCGAATAGAAATCAGGGTGGCTACTATCTCAGTGCCTGATAGCAGATTTTCAAAGGCTGCTATACAGTGCGCACCTTGTACAGGGTGTATTTAAATAACACCGAAAAACTTCCTTGTGATATTTTAGGAAATAAAGTTCATATGAACATGTGTCGTAACTTGATTCGTTTTCGAGATACTGGGTATTGATATTTCTATGAAAAATCTTTTTTCTATTCATTTCTCAATTGCCTTTTCATCGATTTCCATAAAACGTTGTGGTTTTGTTGATAGTAATATGGAGCTTCTTCTAGTGCGATTAGATTCGAAATAATATTTCCAGTGGCGTCACAGTGGGTAAGTTTATCAATCTGCATAGTGAATGTCATTGTACACCACCAATTTTTCTGAGTTTCATATTTTTATTAGATTGAACTATTGAAATAACAACTGTTTTATCCTCTGTGTGATTTTTTCAACTAGTTTAGTTTTTGAGGAAACAATAAATATTCGATTTGACTCCAAATTTCAATGTAGGTGTTTTCAAAGACTTCCATTGAGAATACTCAATAACCCCAATTAGAATCATTCTGAAATTTTGGGGCTTTCTCAGTCTCCATCCATACTGAATATTGACACCATGGTAGCTTATACAGCAGGGTTATAAATAAAAACAATTGATACTTCAAACTTCAACATCCTGTATCTCAAAAACAGAGCAAGCAACTTTATTTCCTAGAATGTCACAAAGAAACACCCCTGAAAAACGGATAGATTCATTCTCTAAAACACAAGAAACACGTCGATTTATGTTTTTGAAAAGACACTCTGTGACATAAAAAACTGTTCCTTCACACCCCTCAACGTGAGAACCACCCCTCCCCGCAATTTTCCTAAATGAAATAAGGGATTTAGTGATAACTCATTTGGAGCATGAATGAAATTAAAAAATATCGATATGGCTGTATAGACAATTGACTACACTTCAAAATGAGGTATCACTAAACCCCCTATTTCATTAAAAAAATTGAGGGGTGGTTGTCACGTTAGGGAGGTGAAGGAGAGGGATTTATTTTATGTCACAACGTCACAGTGTCGTTTCAAAAACATGGATCGATGTGTTTCAGGGCTTTTCTTGAAAATTATCAATAATGTAGAAAATTAATGTATATGTTACTTATGGTGCGCACTATGTATGCTGATTTTCATTAGCTTTGTCTACAGGTTTTCAGTGAATGCTGGTTACGGTTATTATTGAGAAAAAAAACCAAAGAGTTTCAATGGAGAATCTACAGTGTGCTCTAGGTAGAACTTGCCATTCTCAGAGACGCTTCTCTTGAATAAAATACGCATTTTTTCCTAGCAAGTTATATTGTACACTAAAAAGGAAATTTCATAGGAAAACAGTCGAGCCTCAAATCGGCTAACCGCATTTCGAAATTATCATTTCTTCAGTTGAATTCTCAGTAGTGACAATTTCTAACCTAGACACATTGTGATAGACATAAAATATGAATGAATAATTATAATGGATGCTTATTTGGGAGAACATGAAAAGACCTTCAAATTAGTAATTCTATTACTGACCTCTCGATCAATTTTCGCATTTCTTCGTGGGTCATACCATCCTTTGAGTTACCTCTCAATACTGAAAACAAATCAGACTTAGCTACACGACCACGTGACAACATCTATCTAGATCGCTCGACGGCAATTCATTTTCCCAAACATGATTTTTTCCACTACTACGACAGACGCTTGAATAATATCAAATTGACATTTTATCGTCTTCAGTCTTGATTCAAATCAAGCAGTAAGTAAGTAAGTAGTATGAATTAAGATATGATGTTTTGTGATTCTCACTTATTGGACATCATAACAAACCCGTGCTGAAATCGAAAGGAAAATCATAAAAATAATGCATAGCCTTCTGAGTGAGAAACATACAAAATCAAACAATGGTGCGAGTTTATAGTCAAAATTTTTTCGATTGAAATGCCTCGTCACAATCATTTTATGAATGAAGAAATGCGGGATGCAGCCAGAAGGTATGAATTGTAATATCCCTAATATCTAGGCAGAAAGCAACCAAATCACTAAACTTTCTCAAATATATTTCATATACAGTGAAATTATTAGCAAAAAACCGACAAAAAACGAAAAAAATCAACTTTAACGCCCTGTATCTCTTTTCACAGCAATATTTCATTAAGGCATGTTTGGTCCAATCGCCATATTTTGGTCCAAACAATCCGCACTTAGCATATGTCCCAATAGTTATGACTCACCCTGTATATATATGTTACCGGACAAACCCGATTTCAAGTCAAGCTGATTGATTTACTCATAGAGGTGGATGTTCCTTCCTCACAAAATATTAACAAAAAATCGATAACAAGTCAAGGACTTTGAACTTTAGATCCATAAACAACACAAAATGTTTCAAAATGTCTAGCTTACGTGTTGTTTATTGATCTGAAGTTCGGAGTCCTTGACTTGTTGTCGATTTTTTGTTAATATTTTGTGAGGAAGGAACATACACCTCTATGAGTAGATCATTTCAATCAATATTTATAATATTCTGCACAGCTCCGTCAAAATGTTGGAATTCAAAAAATTCAAATCTGTCATCAAACAGTTCCTTTTGAGCCATTGTTTTTATAATATTGATACCTATATGGAGGCAGCAAGTTCACTGAAGCTTTAACCTGTCATTTATCAGTCCCTTCAACAGGACATTGTTATTTTTATGTTTTGTTCTTATTCATTTTTATCTTATTTTTTGTTTTATATATTTTATTCAGATCATTTGATGTTCAATCTTTAACATACCTATAATGTATTTTTAATCATGTATTCTTGTATTTTAATTAATCTATTTCTGCACTTTAGTGATTGAGGGTGAAGATTATCTTCATTTTTTAGCACTATGGCTATTGTAATTATGACTTGCCGTACATGTAATTTACATAACATGGTCAAATAAACTACTCTACTCTCTACTCTACATTCCGCAACGTTGTCATTTAATTTTTTCTCAATCAGCTGGACTTGTTATAATTGAGTGATGATTCTATTCAAATAATAAAAAAAAATAGTCCAATTGCCAATTCGCTTTTTCTATATTTATCACAATCAACAAACGAATTTACGAATACAACTAACCCCACGGATCATTTGGATCATGAATGAATGAACAAACAGATACCAATGAGAACATAACCTCAATGAAAACGCAACTATCAGTAAGGTCGGGTGCAAACTGGTTTCAGGTAAAAATGTGGACACAGTATCAGACTTCAATTATTGCGATGACATTAAAAACTACGGCAAAACATTCCAATAACTGGCGTAGATTGAAAGCTAGACTTGTTTTCCCGCAATTTTTAATGTCATCAGAACGTCATCTCATGACCTTGGCGACCGAGAATTGGAAACAATGAAAATAATTTACTTCTGATATATTCCAAATTGATATTTCAATTCGATTCTGTGTATCGTCATTTCATCAGGTATTCAAACTATTTAATGATATACCTCGTGATTAATATTTCAGGATGAATAAAGAAAATCATCTCATCAAAAGAAAAAGTTGACTATCTTGCTCCAGCTTGTAAAACGATTTTTTCGCTGGTAAATAAGATTGATTTTCCGGATATTCAAGGTAGGTTAGTAGTAGTGGAAAAAATCTAGTCGAGTATCTGTTATTCATATGCACTTTTTTCCGAAAACTATAGTGAACAAACAAAAACAACAGTACATAGTGGATCAATACACAATTATACAATTTCCTCTTTCGAATAAATTTGATGTTTTGTATGAAACGTCGAAAATGCAGCATAATTATGCAAACAAAACCAAAACAATATTAATCACACAGATACAATCATGCATATTAGGGACACAAACAATAGGATATCTGCGATATCATTTTTCGAAATCATCATGCATGAAAAATCGATGGAAGAAATGTTAGTTTTATGAGATGGATGATTCGTGGAATGAGTTGAAGAACCTAATCTAATTAGAAATAGATCACGCTCACAACTCACTTACCCTGTTCATCTTCTGAAACATATTAACGTTTTAGTGTCGATCGTTCACAATCAAAAAATTAAGCAACTGTCGGGCTTTTTGGGGAATCTGGACTCAATTTTACGAAGCCAAGCCGATAAATTATAAGACAATGAATCAACAAAAACAATGTATCAAACAGAAAATTAATAATGAAGGTGCTTTTTAAAATGGAGGCAGAGAGTGTTTTGTCAAAAGTTGAAACAAAAACAAACACGAAATGAGACAGAAATAATATTGAAGGCAGCAAAAAGGCAGTTGAAGCAATGATAAAACCCGACAGTTGGCGTTGATTCATGGAAAAAATTACTTCGATTTAATATGCGAAGATCACAGTGCACAAATGATTCGATTCAAATCTGAAAGTCAAATTGTCACACCATATTTCCAATTGACACTTTATTCAACAGGGAATTTTCAAGTGCAGTCCAATTATGGAGGAAATCTGGACGATGTATCATTTTTAAAAAACAAAATACTATTGTAATCATCATTTTGAACGAATTTTCAAACTGTTGATTGAAATTAGTATTCTCCGATCTCAAATATCTTTCAAGCGATTCTAACAAGGAATTATGCAACCTTCTTTGCAAACAAGTGCTCTTATTTCATCCGAAAAAAAAACTCCGAACCTATACAGGGGGGCGAAAAAGGAAGAAGAAAAAAAAAGTGGAAACTTTGCCTTTCGCCTACTCACCCCCATAAGTCCTGCTGTTAATCAAATGATCCCTGTCGCATTCGGCCTCGGAGATCTCGTTGCTGTCCTTGGAATCGTTGAAAGAGGCGGGATCGTGGTTCCTTGGAGGCGGCGGCGGTGGTTCCGGACTGCCATTCCCGTTGGCCAATGGCGGCTGGACGCGCATCGACCCCAACGATCTTCTGCCTATGGAGCCGCGACTGCCGTATTGATCGTAGGGGGCGCCGTAACCACCGTACTGCGAGCCGTACTGCTCGTCTTCCGGGGCGCAGTTAGCTGGGTCATCGTATTCCGGGCCAGGGGAGTAGATACTACCGTTTCCTGAAGGGACGAAATAGCTAGTCATTGATATTTCATTCAGATATTTTTTTCATCTTTTTTCCCATTATGTTTGCCAGTTTCATGACATTTTATTGTCATTTTTTCTTATCAGTTCTGTTTTTTTGACGATAAGGAAATCATTATGGCTGGCTAGATAGGGTCTCCTGATGCAAACTGACGTATTTGTCATCTCAACAGGGTACGGACAGATCCTCGTCACCTCTCAAAACCTGAAATATTCACCTTTGATGAAATCGGTCACCAAGAAATTCTCACTGCAAACACTTTGTAATGGATTCTCCAATTTTTTGAAAATTACCACTTTCTTGCATAAATCCTTGTTCTCATTGAAAAATATTGCAGAGAAATTTTGTCAGTGGAACACTGAGTTAATACGCCTAGTATTGAATTTTCTTACTTCTGCAGCACGTTTTAATCCAAAAATCTAATAATATTGCCCCCGTCCTGCGAGCCGTACTGCTCGTCTTCCGGGGCGCAGTTAGCTGGGTCATCGTATTCCGGGCCAGGGGAGTAGATACTACCGTTTCCTGAAGGGACGAAATAGCTAGTCATTGATATTTCTTTCAGATTTTTTTTTCATTTTTTTTCCCATTATGTTTGCCAGTTTCATGACATTTTATTGTCATTTTTTCTTTTCAGTTCTGTTTTTTTGACGATAAGGAAATCATTTTGGCTGGCTAGATAGGGTCTCCTGATGCAAACTGACGTATTTGTCATCTCAACAGGGTACGGACAGATCCTCGTCACCTCTCAAAACCTGAAATATTCACCTTTGATGGAATCGGTCACCAAGAAATTCTCACTGCAAACACTTTGTAATGGATTCTCCAATTTTTGAAAATTACCACTTTCTTGCATAAATCTTTGTTCTCATTGAAAAATATTGCAGAGAAATTTTGTCAGTGGAACACTGAGTTAATACGCCTAGTATTGAATTTTCTTACTTCTGCAGAAGCAGAAGTTTATCTATGAGCTGAATGAGCTGAGCCTAATGATTGAGAAATGGTGAAAAGCTTCGATGTGGGTATCTAAACCTGTACTTATGTCATGTGTGCTAAATATATTTTCGGAAATCCAACTCGGAGAAGAATTTATGGAGTGACTAATATCACACTATATATAAAACTTCGTCTAGGACGAAAAGTAGGCTGATAAAAAGTAATACATAAAATGTGCAGGAATATAAAGAATAGAATATATACTTCACCCCCATGTTATACATATGATTTTTCCGTCTCCGTAGACGATTTTACGACAGCATTCTTGAAGGTTTGATTCAAAACTATCCGGCTCGAAGGACCAAATTCGAAATTGCACACCTTCCTTATTCAATGATTTCATTGATAAATCTTGTTTCAACAACGTCTTTATGTTAGCAAAAAATGTAAATCTCTCACACTATATAGGGTAATACAAGTACAAAACTATTATATAGGGTTCAAAAAATACTAAAAAACGCAAGAGAATCAAAACCATCAACAATATGAAGCTAATATAGTAAGTTACGATCAGTAGGTACTGAACGTTAGTGAAAATATAGACATCAAGTGTCGAAAATTAATAGCATTTTTCGAAAGAGAAGCCATCGGTTACTCAGAGGGAGAAAAACTCTTGTCATCAGGAAAGAAAAGTACAAATTTCCTCGATTCTTCAGGGTTCGAAGATGAAGATTTCTAGTAGAGTAGAATTATTGAAGCATCGCAAGTGAAATCATAATATTTCTCACCTTGCGATACAACTCTGTCTCACCAGTTCCTGTTCTGCCTAGGCATTGAAGGTTTGATTTGAATAGATCCGGCTCGAAGGACCAAATTCGAAATTGCAAATCTTCATTTATCGATTTCATTGATGGAATATTATGTTCAAACAACACGTCATGTTAACAACAAACAAAAAATAATTATACCGGGTGAGTCGAATGTGTGTTCTTCGAAATCAGCCAAACCGTCAGATATTTAGAGGACATTCAAATACAACAGTTATAGGATTTCATGAGAACTACCATATCTATAGGGTGTATTTTTTTTGTAATAGAAAAAACAAAAAAATTATAAAAGCATACCTTGCGATCCGACTCTGTCGTACCGGTTCCTGTTCTGCCTGGGCATCGATTGTGATCCGTTCCTCGAATGTATCCCGTGAGGTGTGGTGATGCCAGAGGGACCCATCGTGCCAGAATGCGGGTGCGGGAACGTCTGGAACTGCATCGCTTTGGAGGGGTCCATTTCTTCGCGGAAGCCCAACAGATGGAAGGTGGCGTACGGGCATATCTCGTCGTCCATGCCGCCTTCAAGGATACACGAATAATGGAAGGATATTTGTTTTGTGGAGGTGGTGGTGGGGGTGGTTTTTCAACCCCCGACTTTGTCGTGTCAAGGTGAACGACCATATTTCATTCGGAAGAAGTTTCACATTTTGTGGTATTTGTTGGCAGCAGTTACTATCAAGTTGAGTGACATTTATTGGATGCATTGTTCTGAGGGTTATTTAGATGTGTGCACGTGTAGATATACAAATGATTGTACAAATTGTTGTATTTCGTCAATTAGCAAGTTAACTGCATTTTATCCCATTTTGGGAAAACAAATTTTGATCTGTTTGTACCGTATTTAGCCATGATATAAATAATAATGAACAGGACCAAAGATATTTTTATGGATAATTTTCTTGTCAACCTGACAAGTACGCACTGATGAGTTCATGGTCAAAAGCGCTCTGCTAGGCAAGCAAAAAAAAATTGAATAAATTATTTTGCACGATTAACAACAATTTCTAGAGGGTTATCTATCGAGAAGACCCCTAAATTCACGTAATTTTTTATCGAGAAAAACAAACAAATTTTTTCAAATGGAACACTCTGCTTTTCATATATTTCTTTTCGGAATCTGTGATTTTTTGTGATCACAAAAGTATATATACAGTATGTTATCTCCTTTTTTCACTTCTTTATCTTCACTTTTCGAATCCTACTCTAATGAGAATGATATTCTCCAGGTAAATTCGATATTATTACCCCTTCCATTATAATATCTCTTATTTCGTTTTCGTTGGAAATTTTTAAGCGATATCAGAGGGTCGGGTAGAAGTCGATGGAATCTTCTAAATAAATCAATCGGGGTGAAAGTTTTCTTTTGACCACCGGGTATAGTATTCAACGACCTCTCTACGAAAATCTGGACAAATCTGAAATATTCAGATTCTCCAGGACAAATGTTATTTGTTGAAGGGGTCAAATTTCAAAAACGTTTATTAGGCAATTCTTTTCAGAAAATGTGGATAACTATTATTTTTGTCAAAAAGTATTTGATTTCTTGGATATATTCCCAGGTCATTGAGTGTGCTATAAAAACTGATCACTAGATACTGATATTAATCATTCTAAGTCTAGTTCAAATAAGCAAAGAGATTGTTTGCCCAATCGTTACACATAGCAAATGTGAATGGCAACATAGCAAGAGATTGATCGGCTATCGTACGTATCCTCGTCAATATCTGGACAGAATGAAAACTGAAATTCATTTTGCGCCCAACTGTCTACCTGCGAATGTTGCTCTCCGAGATTGCCATGTTGCCAAATACCACTCTTTCTTAATACTCCAATATGTAACGATGCGGTAAACAATCTGTATAATTTTTTCAGCGAGTTGTCAGTATACTCACTGAAAAGTTAGATATAAATTGTTGTGTACTAAAAACAAAGTGATGCAGCAAGCAATAAGCATGGATAAAGGAAAAAGAAGCATTCACGTACTTGGAATGTTGTTAGAAAGGGATAGAAATTAGAAGAGATAGACAGTCACAAAATTCAATTCAGTATTACAAATCACAGTCGCTTATCTATTTTTACGAAGTTATGAGAAATACATGAATGAATAAGAGATGTCGATAGTATGACGAATCAAACCTGAACTCATACAATTGCTACAAAAAATGCTGGATGATATTATTTTAAAATGATTCAACGATAATGATGATGTGTCGTGTTTTGTATGACTAGTAATAATACAAAAATGTCTGATTGAATAACATCATACCATACCTTCTGTCAGCCGTTGTTTTGACTCGATTGCATTTCTTAATAAAGCTCTTTATTTATGAAGACTGCATTTTTTATAGTTTAGACTCGAGGTATATTTTTCCCCAAAAAAGAAAAAAACGAGTCCAATATTCCTAATTTTTTCATCTTTTGGAAGCAAGAAGCAATAACGAAATAATAAGAAATTTCATTAGATATTTCAAGTACAGACTAACATAATATTCATTATTTTACAAACAATCCATCTTACATATTTCTACTCTGCATGATGTTCTTTGAACCTAGTTTGATGGGCTCGCTCAGTTTGACAAAGGGCCAGTTGCATAAAACTCTGATATATGCCAAAATATCTGAAAATATTATCAAAGTTATTTGAGAAACTGAACAGATATGAAAAATTGTGGAACTGATGAAGGCGTGATTAGACTAATACTCTTGTCGTTATCAAATTCTGCTTGAGCAGATTTAATTCCTTGATCCAATGAATACTCGAAATATTGAACAGAAACAAGAATACACTTAGTTAGTTAGTTAGTTAGTTTTCCCAACCTCAATCATCTAACTTTAACTCTTTACTATAGTTAATGAATAAAAATCTCTATCATATTCAAAACGAGAAATTATTTCCACTGGCTTGCAAATTTGCTTATCAAATCAATTCCTGATGAATAAACGAGGTGTTTTTGAAATAAGTACATATATTCAGCACATCGATAAGATACAGTCTAAGGAACATTAACAAAATGAGATTTTTTAAAATTTGTCTTATAACACACACACACAAAAGATAAAATAGTTGTTATTTCAATAGTTCAATCTAGAGACATGTTTATATGAACTTTATTTCCTTAAATATCACAAGGAATCACCACTTGAATTTTTTCGGTATTATTTGAATACACCCTGCATACATGATTTTATTCACGAGAGCATATTATATTTGACTAGCGTCGTTCTTGAAATTGTCTCTCCAGTCTCGATTCAAACGATTGTGTTACATGATCTAAGGTTACAGACAGTATTTGAATCTGAACAAAAATCAATTTGACACTTCTGTCACATTGAATAATTTGTTTATTGTGTAATAGTATTTTATTTGAAGTTTCGATTGAGTCAGTTTGGAATATGAGGAAGTGTATGAGATCATTGAAGTTCAAAAATGAAATAGTTAATTGTTTAATATAGCATAGATCTTATACGTACCAAGGAAGCAAGCTAAAGCCAATTTATTTCACCTTCCACGGGGGGTATTATTTTTTCCTCCCGTGGAAATGAATTGACTGGTTTGTGTCTTTCAATGAGGCAGCAAATTCTTACTTTCGATGCAGTGAGTAAATAAAATAATTCAAATGATTCAACTCCACGTGATTGAGCCTTCCGCATGGAAAAAACAAATGTGATGTCGGAATTGCTACAGCGTTGGGTGAAAAAAAGGGGTAAAATTTATTTTTGTCAATGGTACCATTCGATAGTTGATATATTTGTATTCATTTCGATATCATCCTGTAAAATCTTCAATATTCTTGAAATGATGCATAAAAAAGACAAATTTGGACCACAATTTTTCAACTTCCAGGGAAAAATATACCCTCTCCAAACTCAAACCCAATCTCGGATCTTCAACGCAACAAAAAATCATCATTTAGTGTTAGTTAGTGAAATTATTTCAATGCCACAATCGCATCCCAAAATCATTCTACTGAAACGAAATCTTTACCTCTGTGAGTATGAACGGTCTCATTCGAGCCTCTCCTACTTCTCAGTTCCTCGTACAAATGCCTTCTCGGGTCCCAAGTCGAGTGAGAACGGTAATGTGCTCCTATACGTACAATTATAGAAAAAAAAATGATAAAATAATAAACGAAAAGTAAGGGCCTATCCACCGGCAGAGCAGTATATCAAGACGAAATGAACAAAACATGGATGAAGTCTATTAACATTCAGCGAGGCGGGTTATGATGATCACAATTATTACTCCTGGTATAAAAAGATATCAATGTTGTTCTATTTGAAGATATTGCGAAATAATATTTTTTAAGTAGCTACTTCAGTAGGCGTGTTTTTTTAGATTTTAAAGCAAACATTGAAACGAAAAGAAACAAATCTCCATGTTGAATGAAAAACTTTGAAATGTTGAGGAACCATAAAAATCCTTGAGTTTTGTGCGAGGTAGAGCGAAAAGAGTGAAGGAGAAATGTCAAAAAATCTTTAGAAATCGAGCTAGATTTTCTCTGAAAACAGTTTGTATTTTTTTCATCAGACCTATTGCTGACCAGTATATCTTTGCCATCTGCAGAGATATTGCATCCATTTCAATTTTTCGAGCAATCTGTGCATTATTTCGACCTAAAAAGTGATTGGTGAAATCAGAATGAAGCTATCTCGGCTTAGAGTCCCTGTATATACCTTAGACAAGAGTCCGGACACACCTATACCTCTGTCCTTTTCTGTTTTCAAAAAATGTATTGATGATTGAATAAAGGAATAAGACATATATATCGAGCATTGTCTTTTCAATTCCCCTAGTATCAATGAGTGTCAGAAACAATTTTGAGGGTTAAATTATTTGTCAAACCGTTCATAGCCGTAGGTAGAAGTAAGACATAGGGCTATTTTAACTAGAATAATTATTACATTATCAAATAATGAACAACAGGGTGTTCAAATTTCGGAACGATAATTTTCATAATCAATTCCTGAGATGGCTATTGCAAATATCCGCCATCAGATATTTCTTCACTTTATTAGATATATAAGAAACATAATTTAAGTGTTCTACGTGGTATCACATATAGCCAAGAAAATATAGTTATTTTCTCTTGGGCTATAAAAAAATAAAAGATTTATAATTGTTTCAATATAATTTTCTCCGATTCTCTCAATTCATTAACACTCATCAGAAATAAAAGTGACAAAATCAAAACAACAATAGGTATATTTGATAGCGAGTGATGTATTAATTGTATCGGTTTTCCACCTCTTCCTGCAGTCTACATTCACCTGTAAATTCTGAATTTGATCTGAATTAAAAATACCGTGGACTGATGACATAGCACATTGCAGTTTCTCTAAATCTTCTAGTTATGATTTCAAACTTTCAATTTCTTCCCGCATCATCTCATTCTCATTTTCTTTCTCTGCGATCGTATCATTCAGTAATTCCCAATACGATGACGATGGCTCTTTTTTTGAACGTCTCTATTTCATAAATTGACGGCACAGCAGACTCTTTCAATATGAAATCCATCAGCTTAAAAGAATCTCTATCAAGATAGGCCTAAAATTCTTCTTTTTTATACTGTTTTTACAAGTAAATTTGAATATATATACCACACATATTGCGGATTTCTTGAAATTAATTTTCCATTCAGGACGTTTCATTGCATTCTTGCATGAACATTCGGAAAATTGAATAACTTGAATCCCTTTCCTAATGATTTATCGCAATAATGTAGGCAGCAGGACATTGAAATAATTTAAAATGCAAAATTTTGGCGGTCATAAAATTTCGAAGTGACAGTGACAGAAATTCGAAATAATTTTAAAAAAGCGGGCGGACGACTATGATGTTTCAAACCAAATGAAACAAAATATCAAATACCCCAACGGCTGTCAGTTTTGTGTCCGGACTCTTGTCTAAGGTATATACAGGGACTCTATCTCGGCTCTGAACAAAGTTTGGAATTTGTCATCGACCTTGATGTAAAATACTTTTCTTGGAAAGATTCTTGTCCATCTGTCGAGATATCTTTTCCATTTCAATTTTGCGACCATTTTAGGCATTATTTCGACCTAAAAAGAAATTTTTGAAATCAGAATCGAGCTATCTCGGCTATGAAAAAAGTTTGGATTTTGTCATTGAACCTAATGTTAAATCTGCCAAGTTTGAATGATATCTTGTCCATCTGTCTAGATATCGCTCCCATTTTGTTTTTGCAACCTAATTAAGCGTTATTTCCACTTAAAAAAGTCATTGGTGAAATCAGAATATAGCCATCACGGTTTTTTCAACCCCTTACGGCCATACCACGGCTGCCTCCACCACTGAAAACCTGCCAGATATCCCGATCAGTTTTTAATGATGTTACAGTAGTACAATAAGGAGATATCGATCCATTAATCTGACAATGAAATTTTTTGTCAACTCTCCGTCTATAATATTTAATTTGATAAACTCGGAACATATCTCGTATATCTGCCAAGATATTGCTTCCATTTCAATTGGGCGACAATAATAGGCGTTATTTCAACCTGAAAAAGTCATTGATGGAATCAGAATCAAGCTATCTCGGCTCTGAAAAAAGTTCGGATGTTATCATCGAACCTAATGTTTAATTTGCCAAACTTAGAAAATATCTCGTCCATCTGTCAAGATATCGCTTCCATTTCAATCTTGCGACGTGGTTAGGCGTTATTTCCATCTAAAAAAGTCATTGGTGCAATCAGAATCAAGCTATCTCGGCTCTGAATAAGAATTCGGATTTTGTCATCGAACATGATGTTTAATTTATTAGATTTGGAAAATCTCTCATCCACATGACAAGATCTCGCTTCCATTTCAATCTTGCAAGTAAATAAGGCATTGTTTCTACCTATAAAAGTCATTGTTGTAATCAGAATCAAGCTAGCTCGGCACTGGAAAAAGCGAGGAAAGTTGAATTTTGTCATCAGACCTAAGTTTGAAAAATATCTCATCCATCTGTCCAGATATCGATTTCATGTCGATTCCGCCATCTGATTAGCACTTTTTGCACCAATAAATCTATTACTAAAATGAGAATTGAGCTCTCTACGTCAACAATAACACACAGTAACATCATGAGACGATAAAATAATAATAAAAAAGAAAATTGGCCAACAGGTTTTCAAAATCCCACGCTTTGTTAAGAAAACTTCGCACCAACATTGATATCTTTTTCTCCTCGACCGATGCAGAAAACATTGAACGTTAGGTATACAAAGGCATGCCATGAAACTAAAACGAGAAAAAAAAAATTGAAAAAGCGACGAATCTCTTACTTATTGTACCTCGCTTGATCCTGTCGCAAGTGTTGTAGTTGGAACCTGGCACCGGAGGCAATTTCCTGTTGGGCGGCGCTATGTACCCTAACTCGTCGCGCAAGTCGGGTCTGCGTTTGTCCAATGTAGATACCGCGTTGCAGGACTGGTTGTAGACGACGTCGTCTACAGAGAAGGGGAAAAGAGTTTTAAAAGGTGGAAGAATGTTGATTGAGAGTCTGATGATTAGTTGGATGAGGATGCTCAACTCAACAAAATAAGGAAAACACAACAACATAGAGTTACTTGATGTTCCTATATGAATATCTATACAGAGTGTTCCTTGATGACATGCTAATATTCAAGGGGTCATTTCAAGAATAAAACTTCTCATGAACGTATACCGTAAGCGTCCTAACTTTCGAGATACAGGGAATCTAAATTGAATTGTTGTTGTTTTTGTTGTTGTATAAGTATAGAATACTCTTTTGATTGAAACGGTGCTAAAATTTCAAAGTGATACATATTATTGTAGTTATCCAGTAATTAATGTCCCGAATGGAGCTTATATACATCAAAATTTGAAATCTGGTCTCGTCTTTCCGTTTTTTCTCGAAAACGGAGCGTCCTATCGAGTATCAACAGGAGGATCTTTTTTGTATAGAATTGAGTGGACTTTTATAGTATTGTATATTAGGAAATTCTCCATCATTGCTCACTATTAAGTAAAATATGAACAATAGTATTCCTCTAACGGCGCCACTGGTAGGGAAAATGGAAATTTTTGTACACCAGAAAATGTACCTTGATGCATAGAAGACATTCGATAAATTCCATGAAGATGGCCACAATATTATATCAGTAATATCACCCTGTATCTCAAAAGATAAGACATTTAGGACATTTTCTTCATAGGTTTTCTCTTGAAATGAATCGAAGAATCGCCCCCTTGAATACTAGCATGTCTTCAAGGAACTCCTGTATAATAATCTTCATGTAGGAGAAGAATTGATTGGATTTGATTTCTTGGGGTGTTTCAATTATTTTTTCTCCAAATGCTTCCCTCTTGAGGTACATAGTCAATTATTAGAGAACCATTATTTTCCCATTATCTTCAGCCATTTTCTGTAGGAATCAAGGCAAACAGTTAATAATTTTTAGTGAAAACATTACTAAGGTTCCAGACAGATATTTCGAATACCTACCCTTATTATAAGAATTTCATTGGAAATTTCAAAAAATTCTCGAAGTATTAATACTTCAATCAATATAGGTAGAAATTGGGAAGTTGCTCCGTTTTCTTATCGATCATTTCAGCAACATCAAGAAAATATCCAAGAATGCTCGATGTTCATCTATTTGGAATACCCCGGTGAAGACTGAGAAAATAATCGAATATACAGTGTTTTTCAGAAAGTTGGAATCATAATATGAATAATTTGAAAACTAAGAAAAATTGCCTACTCGGCCGGGGTCACGTGACTATCGCTACATGTCAATAGTAAATTTTTTTCAAATTACTCGCCGGAAAGACGCTCTAACGTTAGAATTTAGAAAACGTTTACTGAGAAAAGTTGTTTCCACTGTTGTGTTTCTGATTTGAACGTCCTGTTGCTACTTTCAGATTTTGAAATTTTTCAAATATCTACGAAATGTATATAAGATTTAAAAAAATGTAACTTCGACGATACTCTTTCATATCAGTAGCTATATCATGCTACTAACTTCAAATAACTGATTTTCAGCAAAAATATGACTTCCTTTAGAAAATATTGACCCCGCTTCGAATTTCTGTTATGTTTGCAAATTTGATGTGTCGTCAAGCATTTAGAAGCGAAATTCATTTGAATGTATGACGGTTTTATCGAAGATGAAATTTTCCCAATATTACAGAAACTTTTTCCAAATAAAAAAATATCAAAAACTGAAAGTGGTACTATTATACGTTTTTTTTCCATATGATTGCAACTTTCTGGAAGACCATGTATGCAAGAAGATCCGAAGAAATTGTATTGGCGAAAATTTGATTAAAACGCACACGTAACAAACTAAACAATGTTTGACGAAAAAAAAACAGTCACTGCAATCAACAATAGCCATATATTTCCGGTGGCCCAAGTCCCTGAATCAAATCTAAACGAAAAAAAAACAAACAAACAAAAGATAGTAAAATGAGAGATGAGAAAACGGTCCATACACATACAATCGCTGCGCAGTCTAGTCTGCAGAGGCCCGTGAGCTTTCCTCGAAAGCGCCACGCAAACCACCACGATACCAACCACAACCACAACCACAGTGGTGGCCACAGGCACCGCGATATTCCACTCCACCCAATCCGGGATCCAAGGAAAGTACATCCTCACGGCGGGCATATCACGCGCTGGCGCAATTTTACCTAGAAAAAACCAAGAAGAAGAATCGCCTTCGTTTACCTTTGTTATAGTTTCCTTTGCCGCGCAACACACAGATCACGATTATGGCGACAATAATGACCAGGATGGCAGCCACTACGGGAACTACAAGGTTAAGGTTCGCGAGGATTATTTGGATGGTGTCCTCTTTGGGGATTTCGCGCGCCGGGGCAATAGTACCTGAAACCAAAACACAGGGGGCGTTGGTTCGAACGGTGGGCTACGCAACGCAACGGTCGTTGAGAGTGAGGAAAACCACGAGCAACCAAACGAACGATTAATACCGTTCCATTTCGATTCAGGACAGTCTTGTTCCTCATTGGTCTCGTACCTTTCATATCATTTGTTTTCACAAGTTGTCAATACCTTTACAAAAAATTCCACTGTAAGGTTCTCCAAAGAAAATCCACAAAGATTTGATTATCTGTTTACGTGGAGGCGTAAAAAATCGGTTTGATTAGTGGTAAAACAGTGCGTAGTGTTTTATTGTGCCAAAGGTTCCAGTTCTCGATATACAAGGTGTCTTTAAAATGAGGGCACATATTCAACACATCAATATGATACAGTCTAAGGAATATTATCATATCAGATTTTATCTAATTCTTCTGATTAACGAGAAATTCCATCCCAAAAATTGAACAAAATACGAGAAAAAAAATCGAGTACGCCACTTTAAAACAATTTAAATGATTGAACTCCGCGTGATTGTGCCTACCGCATGGAAATTTGAACAGAGGTGACGTCAGATTTGCCACACTGTAGAACTTTGGATGGAAAAAGGGGTCTAACCTCAAATTTCATTTTGATCCCTACGTTTTTTTATTAGTGCCATTCGATAGTACACGTCGAGCTTTCTCAGTGTTTTAAAATATCTGCACTTATTTCAATGACACCCTGTATATGAATTATTGTCGAAAAAGATTATACATTTTATTTGATATCAATAGTTTGATCATTTTGTTATCTCATCTCTAACCTACTCGACAGCACCTATCAGTCGATACGGGACAATTGAAAATATATACTTCTTCTTTTAATTGTCCACCAGAATACGCTACTGAAATCAGACACTTTTCACGATATATACTTTTTTTTTCATTTCATTTAACCTTTACTTGAAGGTTAGTCTCCATTGATTTATCATTTTCATAGTTTCAAACCTGTTCGACTGCGCCTTAGCGATTGATACGGGACAATTAAAATTAAGAGAGATTGAGAAAACATTTTCGAGAATCCAAATTCAAACTAATATATCACAAATGATTTTGAGAACAATTATTATCTGTCGTTTTCATCTTCCATATTCCACCGCACATACCTTACCTGTTGTAGGAATTTTGTATATAATATTGATTCCTCACTTGATAATTTCTTCTATTTGAAATGTCTCCAGATATGGGTTGGCTCCATTATGCTGAATTTTTGGTTTTCATATGAATTGTACGAATAAGAACACATAAAATCCAGTGAGATTAGGGACGATTCAATGGGTTTGAAAATTCAACTGATGGAAAATATCATTATGAATCTACATATTCAATTAAACATCTCTGATATTAATTTTTTCAACTTCAGAATTTCGAAATGGAACGTATTTATTTCACGTCCATTTGTTGCGAAGTCTATACCTAAAGTTTGCAACAGACGAAAAATGTATGATTTCGCGATGCAGTTTGGCCGATTGCAAACGTGCTAGTGTTGAATGAAGTAAAGTGGACTTTTTCCCCCAATTATTTGTGCCAGTGTTGAAAACTTTATGTCAATAATCATTGTGTTGAAATAACGCTCATTACATTTTTTGTATCTGTTTTTGCAATAAATAGCAGGATATTATGTGAATTAGACATTGTCAGAGAGAACTCAGAAGTTAATAACAAGCAGTAATTTTAAAATGATGAGTCAGATGAATACGTTATCAACATTACAATCATTTTTATTGAGATGTTACCAATATAACATTTCGATTTTGTTCACATTTTGAATCGATATGCCATATTTTCAAATTTCAAGAGCTTCCACATCAAAAAGTGTCTAGACACCACATGCATATTAATCGAAATTTTGAATCTACGAAAATAATAATTATTCAAATACATTGAAACATTCAAACTTCAAATTAGTTCCGACAAATTATAAAAACTATTCAACAAAATAACAGATACAAAAAACTGAGCAGAAAAAAATTAAATAGTGTTAGCTGTTTGTAATTCAAGAGAATCATTTTAGGTCATAGGAAGATTCATAATTATCGATAACTTTTTCCTGAACTGGCCAATGATTTATGACTCATTTAGTCCCAACACTACGTGAAATATGAAACAGGTCTCAGTTTTGCTGGAATGATGATCTTGTGAGATGGTTAGAATGATTTGCAGCGCTATGTTATCTTATTCAGGTACTATTGCTATTATTCACAAACATGATGGATGATGAAGGTTAACGGAATTCAACTTTATGTACCTTGGTGTGATGGTGTCGGTGAAAGAGTGCTGCAAACATCAAACAAAATCAGAAATGCAAATAAGAAAAATCGGGTTTCACCGTTGATCATTACACTAACAAGATGAACCATCCTTATGAGAGCAATGACGCAAGAAATTCAATTCATTAGGTGGCGGTTTGTATGAACTACTTTTTGTTGAGTAACGAAGGGTAGAGATCAGTAATGCAGAACATATACGGAGTTAATATTTAGATGTTTTTATGCAAGCAAGAAGGTCTCATCTGGGCCAGATTATAATATTTTTTATTTAGGAGCCTTCAGAATATCAAAGTTGGAGATTTTTCTGCTTCAGAAAGGAGGAGATTCCTAGAAAGTTCAGCAACTTGCAGGTGAAGTCTAGCAGATTCCGAGAGTACAGACAAATGGTCATATTTTGATGAGTTTTGCTAGCTCTGCCCAGGAACCAGCCAAGATCGGAGTCAAAATTTTGCTTCAACATTTAACATGGAGGTGTATCATCTTGTTATAAATAATCAAGGGTTTTAGTTTTCGATAAATCAAGTAGCAAGACAAGATGCGATATGAGGTTTCACAACACATGCGATTTTTACAACATAAAATGGAATGTACAGGTTGTTGTTTCCTTTTATGAAATCGATAAATCCTCAATTTTTTTTTTCATTGAAGATAAAAAATATTACGCCAAATTTGCAAATTAAATTATAGTACGTAATGATCATCAGACGATAAGGGGACTGGAATGTCACACAATATCAATTAATTTGGATAAAAATTGTATTTTTGTACTCAAAAGGAGTTTGGAGAAGATAAAAAACTGTTAGATTCAGTTTGTTTTCTCAATTTAACCAACCACTTCAAATGTTACTAATGTTGAGAAGAAAAAACGAATCTTTTTCATTATAAAAATAGAATGAATGAGATGTTCTTTGACAACAAAATAGGTGGCTACGATACATTCTGGCGCCCAACGTGAGGTTCGTTTAATATTCCAAGAGTGTTGACCTATGCAAATGTCCACAACAAATAATGGGAAGAAACAGAAATAATATAATAACACGAGCAGGCATGACACATTCCACATCGATCTAAATATGTACAGTATATACAAAAACCGTCTTACCTCCGGTTACCGTCAGGGTGGCGAATTCGTATTCGGCCACGTTGAAACCGGCATTGTTGTGGGCCGTCACTCTCAGATGGTACCATTGGGCCGGATCCAGATCGAGTAACACAAAATTCTGACCGGGTTTCACGTTGTTCGATACCTGGATCCATTCGGTGCTGCTCCTAAAAACCCACGCGAGACGCCAATGAAGAAAACAACTACTGTCTGTAGGTTAATCGAGGAGGTGGTACATTCATTTTACTCGATTTTTATCTTTTGGTTGTTATCTTCCTTTCCTATGATTTTGATATTATTCCACTCTGCCATATGTTGTCCATCTTGAGTAAGGACATGTTCAGTAAGCTTCGATATGTCTTTTCTTGATATTGTACTTGTGTTCTTCAGTCCTTACTGAGAGAGGTCTTTTCGTTTCACCTGTATAATACTTTCCACAAACACAAGGTATACTATAAATAAAATTTTTTGATGATTGTTCTTCATTTTTTGGCTTTGTTTGAGTTAGAATGGATCTCATTGTGTTTTCTGTTTTTGAGACAGTTCTCACTTGGAATTTATTACCAACACGTTTTATTTTCTCAGTGAAAACTGTCTTCAAAACTGAAAACACAATGAGATCTATTCTAACTCAAACAAAGCCAAAAAATGAAGAACAATGATCAAAAAATTGTATTTGTAGTATACCTTGTGTTTGTGGAAAGTATTATACAGGTGGAACGAAAAGACCTTCCTCAGTAAGGACTAAAGAACACAAGTACAATATCAAGAAAAGACATATCGATAATCGAAGCTAACTGAACATACCCTTACTGAAGATAGACAACATGGCAGAAAAAGATAACAACCAAAAGAGAAAAATCAAGGAATCGGCTTGCATTCTTCTGAACGGAGACAATAGCATTGCTTCCTGTTCAGTTGATATAGATAGAACATGATATTCACTACTGAAAACTGAACATGAAATATTTTAGATTCAAGATCAATTAAGACTAAAATCACTAATTCATATGCCACCATCAGTATGACACTGAAAAGTGTCAAACTATAAGCAGCAACTTCCAAAAAGAAATATTTTGCATTCTTATGTTGAGAACGGGGGCAGATTCGGGCCCGAAACGTCCAAAGATAAGTAAAAATTCGATATTTTTTCAATATATCTATATTTCTTTCCTCCAAAAATTTTTCGAACAAATTGTCACTGACAAGATACTGGATTTTTTAGGCTCTCTGATAGAAAAAATTGTTAAACGCAGTGACATTTTGGAGCTAATCATCTGATTTGTCCCACTACAAATATATTGAAATAATACACATATTTTCATTTTATAGAAAGGAGAGAAAATCCCAAAAAATCAAGTAAAATGAATGTACCACCTATTCGATTAACCAACAGACAGTATTTAAAGGAACACCCTGTATAATTTCCCGGAAAATAAATCAATCTACTTGCTTTTTTTTCTGTTCGATGACGAAATACAACATGGGGCAACCGCCATCAGACCAGGCGCTGAGGTGGAGGGTGATGCTGTTGGATGACACTTCGATGAATTTGTCTGCGCTCGGTATGATCGGTTTTTCGCCTCTGGTTTTCGGGGTGATGTTATCAGACGGATCTCCGGTACCGATACTATATGAGAAAAAAGGAAATTCATTCTCTCATTCGTCCAATCAATGATGTACAGTGCTGCCCAAATAATTCGCAACCCTGACTATCTCGTACCACAATAAGAAATGAGTGATTGAAAAGCGGGCGGTTGGGATAGCTATTACTCCGAGTGCATGAACTGGATTTTCAAAAGAATATCACAGTAGTCGTTGAAATTTTTCTTGGGTTGCACTGTACCTTCATGAAAAAATCCAAATCGCGACGATTGGAGTTTCCGAAATATTCCATATACGATACACATTCATCACCGACTCACCTGTTGTAAGACGTGACGTACAGCTGGTACCGAGTACCGCACAACAAACCATCGATGTTGTAATTCTCGATGCTGGGACCGACTTGGGCCGTTTCCCAATCGCCGAACTCCGGTTTGTAATGAACGGTGTATCCATGGATGGGTTCCAAGTCGGTTTCGTGCGGCCGCATCTTGATTGTTAGCGAATCGGTGGTGGTGGACGTTAATTGGACGACGGGGGCATGAGGGGGAGCATTGACGATCAAGCGATGAGTGACCGAGTCTTGACCGTAGTCGTTCTCCACTCTATCGAATGAATCGGAAAAAAAAGTCGTTTGATAACGAATTCCATTGGTAAAACTGGCTCGCACTGAGTGCATATTTTGTATTCCATTGGTAAAACTGGTGTCGGGTTTAGAATTCCATTGGAAAACTGCACGAGCTCTAATAGGTCGTGCGAAGTCAGTGCACTTTTGAAAATGGCGGAAACATTGAATATGAATAGTTTGCCAACCAAATTGTTAGTGGCGATCTAATCATCATCATCAAATAGTGATGAATAGTTGGAGGTTCCAAAAAAATGAAGATTACTACCCAGAATTCATAAGTTTGTTAAAAGAATTCAATGATGAAGAGGTACTTAGTACTCAACATTATTTCTATGAAACATTTACTTCGGTCTTAATTGAAGTTAAGAAAGAATTCCAGGATGCCAACAAGTGATAATCGAAGACAAACCAACTTATCCGATTTGCAATTTTTGCAATTTTCAGACATTTTTGCGATTTTTGCAATTTTCAGGAATTTTTTGCAATTTTCAGGAATTTTTGCGATTTTTGCAATTTTCAGGAATTTTTGCAATTTTTGCAATTTTCAGGCATTTTTCCGATTTTTGCAATTTTCAGGAATTTTTGCGATTTTTGCAATTTTCAGGCATTTTTGCGATTTTTGCAATTTTCAGGCATTTTTGCGATTTTTGCAATTTTCAGGAATTTTTGCGATTTTTGCAATTTTCAGGCATTTTTGCGATTTTTGCAATTTTCAGGCATTTTTGCGATTTTTGCAATTTTCAGGCATTTTTGCGATTTTTGCAATTTTCATGAATTTTTGCGATTTTTGCAATTTTCAGGAATTTTTGCGATTATTGCAATTTTCAGGAATTTTTGCGATTTTTGCAATTTCAGGCATTTTTGCGATTTTTGCAATTTTCAGGAATTTTTGCGATTT